TTTGGTTTTTATTAATCTGAAGAATTTTGATGCCTCGTCAATGAGGCACCATCTATCAAAATCAAAAATGAACTTTACTCATTGTCGTCATCACGCCTCGTTTGTTTTTAGTTTCCTTACTATAAAATTCACTGATCCAAATGTTATCTTTATAAATGCCTAAGTAGATCAATTGCATGCAGAACAAACTTCTCAATTTCATTTTAATAAGAAAGACTTGGCCTGTTAAAGTGTATATTTAAGTTTAAACATTCTTATGCTTCTGCCTCCAGCTTGAAACATAAATTGCACTAGATTTTTTTTCCTTCTACTAATACGTTGCTATGATCAAGAAGCAACCTTTAATCAAAATAAATGATGAAAAAAGCCCAGGATTACCCGCATAGATAAACCCTATATGCACATACTTCTGGATTGTTTAGAATTTGTTTTCTTATAATATATTTGTAAAATTCAGCATAAACCAGGCTGGTATATAGCTTACACATCTGAACAGTGCAATCGAAAGCCAAGAATGTACAAGAACTGCAAACCTGATTAACTATGTAACCAAAACGAGCATATGTTTGTTCTTATGTTGTGCTGTAACACCACTGTTCCAGGTTAGGGGGAGGGTCGAGCACTCACAAATATGTTTAATCCGTAATATTCTTTTTGTGCCTATCCCAAGTCAGGAGCCTGCAAATCAGTGGTTGTCGTTGGTTCATGTCTGTCATATTTGTTTTTCGTAAATTGTTTTGTTATAAATTAGGCCGTAAGTTTTCTCAATTGAATAGTTTTATATTTTTCATGTCCGGATATTTTATAGCCGACTATACAGTATGGATTTTTCTTGTTGAAGGCCGTACGGTTGCCTATAGTTGCTTACATCCACTTCATTTGAACTTTGATGGATAGTTGTCTCACTGACAATCATACCACATCTCCTTATTTTTATATAAAGAGAATAGCCGAATTCAACTAAGGTCAACTTTACCTATGTAAACCTTAGTTTTTCAATAATCTATTAATTTATCAACGGGGAATTTAAGAAAAAACAAACAAATACAAATTACACTCAGTTTGTTTGTTATTTAGCTCAACAATGATCCAGTTGCAATTTTGCAGTAGACAATTTTTGTCCATGTGTGATGCAGCGAGTGGTCTGATTCATCTTATCGCGAACTACAAAAAGGTCGGATGTGAAAACAAAAAGCTAATGGTGGAATTCGGATATATAGAATTGAGAATGGAAATGGGGAATGTGTCAAAAAGATAACAATCCGACCAAAGAGCAGAAAACAACCGAAGTCCACCAATGGGTCTTCAACACAGCGAGAAAATCCCGCACCTATAACGTCACCTTTGTGGCGATATTTACTTTTAACAAAACACTTATATTTGAATTTTGAGAAAAAAAAATACATTAAACTGTCCAGTTGCAAGAAAATGTGTGAAAACATGTTTGGTTTTTATTAATCTGAAGAATTTTGATGCCTCGTCAATGAGGCACCATCTATCAAAATCAAAAATGAACTTTACTCGTTGTCGTCATCACGCCTCGTTTGTTTTTAGTTTCCTTACTATAAAATTCACTGATCCAAATGTTATCTTTATAAATGCCTAAGTAGATCAATTGCATGCAGAACAAACTTCTCAATTTCATTTTAATAAGAAAGACTTGGCCTGTTAAAGTGTATATTTAAGTTTAAACATTCTTATGCTTCTGCCTCCAGCTTGAAACATAAATTGCACTAGATTTTTTTTCCTTCTACTAATACGTTGCTATGATCAAGAAGCAACCTTTAATCAAAATAAATGATGAAAAAAGCCCAGGATTACCCGCATAGATGAACCCTATATGCACATACTTCTGGATTGTTTAGAATTTGTTTTCTTATAATATATTTGTAAAATTCAGCATAAACCAGGCTGGTATATAGCTTACACATCTGAACAGTGCAATCGAAAGCCAAGAATGTACAAGAACTGCAAACCTGATTAACTATGTAACCAAAACGAGCATATGTTTGTTCTTATGTTGTGCTGTAACACCACTGTTCCAGGTTAGGGGGAGGGTCGAGCACTCACAAATATGTTTAATCCGTAATATTCTTTTTGTGCCTATCCCAAGTCAGGAGCCTGCAAATCAGTGGTTGTCGTTGGTTCATGTCTGTCATATTTGTTTTTCGTAAATTGTTTTGTTATAAATTAGGCCGTAAGTTTTCTCAATTGAATAGTTTTATATTTTTCATGTCCGGATATTTTATAGCCGACTATACAGTATGGATTTTTCTTGTTGAAGGCCGTACGGTTGCCTATAGTTGCTTACATCCACTTCATTTGAACTTTGATGGATAGTTGTCTCACTGACAATCATACCACATCTCCTTATTTTTATATAAAGAGAATAGCCGAATTCAACTAAGGTCAACTTTACCTATGTAAACCTTAGTTTTTCAATAATCTATTAATTTATCAACGGGGAATTTAAGAAAAAACAAACAAATACAAATTACACTCAGTTTGTTTGTTATTTAGCTCAACAATGATCCAGTTGCAATTTTGCAGTAGACAATTTTTGTCCCCCCCCCCCCCTTTTGCCCAAAAGCAGGATTTGAATCTATGTTTTTGCGAGATTGTGGCAACACCCTCTGCTCAAATGTGTCCCAAACCACTCGACATACTAGGCTATATAAAATATAGCAAATCTTCAAGGTAACCCACCTACATGCTACAAAAAACATGTACTGTGTTACAACCCTAGATTTAACCGAAAGGAAAGGCATTATACGACTAACAGAAGCTTTATTTTATATCGCATAGTTGAAACAAGCCCATGTGATTTTCTTATCACGATTTCCGAAAAATACTTTATATTTGCTTTGAATAAACAATTAATATCGATCGTCTGTAAATATTTGGAAATGAAACCTTACTTTTACTTTCAGATGTTAAATTAATTTCTCTTTTTACAGGAGTAAGTAGGAAATTTGAGATGATAAATATTATCAGAATATTACATGACCGTTTCATATCAGATGTATTATCAGCCCTAGATCAGGATAACAGACGCTCGAAATCTGATATCGACTGAGGGCTGATAATACTTCTGATACGAAAAATGTCATGTTATGTTCTTTTTATCATATACTTCCTCATTTAAAAATATCATTGTCTAAAAATGTTATACTTTAAAGACATCAATCTCAACTACGCAATAAAATAAATTCAATTAAGAATTGAATGCTTCTTTTTGTAAATTCATTGGGATGTAAAAGCGTTGACCGAAGTTCATTCTGTATGAAGCGCGGAAGCGCTGTATTCTAAAAATGTACGCACGGTCAACGCTTTTACAACCCTATGAAATTACTAAAAGAAGCATTCAATACTTATAATTACATTTTTTCGCTATGATCATGAAAACACGATTACTATCATTTTTTTCTTTTATTTATCTGTGCATTTTATTGTGGAAACGTGTGTCATCATGTATGTTACAATTCATGAAATTCATTTTGAAATGAAGAATGACGCGAGATTGCTGTTAGCCAATCAAAATAATGTATAATAATGAAACATACATCTAATGTAATTATTTATATTTAAGAAATATTTGATCGCAGAATACTTAAACGTACTTGTATTATCTACATATTTGACACTGATTTTATTGTACTGACAAAAGTATAATAAGTCTGAACTTTGCAGCACATACATAAGACATGACGTGGCAAAGTTTTGAAACTTTGCAAACAATGTATAACAAATGATAAACATGGTCATTTAAGGGCAATTACTCTGATAAGTAGACCACTTATGCTTTCGGACAGTTGACTTAATTGCTGATCTTGTCTGAAGTCTTGCTGATAACTTTTTATTTTGTAAAGTTTTCCATTATTAACTTCAATTTTCAAGATGTAAACTCAAAAAACGCAAAAACTTGGGGAAAACATTTTAAGGGAAAGAACTCTAATACCTAGACGTCTGCCAAATTTGGTCAAAATGGAAAGTAGATTTTGACATTATTTAGCATTACCCTATCTGATTTGTTCTATCTGTAAGGGAACAAGCAGTAAATTCTGAGTGTGAAATTGATGAGATTGAAATATGATAAGGTCAGAACATTTTTTTTTCATATTAGGCGGCCAGAATATTTATTTTATCGCAGACAAAGGGCTAGAACATTTTTTTCTGCTCGTTCAAAAGGTGGCCCTAAAACTGCTTCCCCCACAGAATCAAATGGTCGTTCCCTAAAGTAATTTAACTTTTATGATACAGATTACCTTTTTGGTAGGATACGCTAACAACTCCAATCAAAATTATGTGTCCAAATGATAAAAATCTATCAAGCGTAAAGAGGCAATTTTGTTTGACGATATTATTGTATTTTTTTTATCCAAAAGGGATGTCGTACTTCTGTAAAAAAAATATACAGGTTCCTCGCTTTTGAAAGGCACACCAGACAGAATGTGGCCGGATTCGTGAATTCTCAACCTAACAACATATAAGAACAAACTGTTAAAATCAGTTGAAAAGGGCTTGACACATCAGATTTGTATAAGCGCAAAAACAAATTATAAAAAGACAAAAAACACAATTACCTACCTAAGAGTAATCGCAGTTAAGAAAATAAAGTTCAAACCTACATTTTAACTAATGATAGAAACTGTTTAGAGCTTGAAATTGTATAGACTCCTGTCTTTTGCTGAACATCGTCTGTTGGTCTGCTGATGTTTTTGAGTCTTGTTTTATGTCATTTGGTTGCTTCTAAGTATCTCATTGACGTATACTTATGCTCTTTATCTGCGTTTATTTGGCCTTCCAACTGTTTTGATTCGAGCACCACTGATAGCCTTATGTAGATAAATGCACGTTTTGTGTACCATAATATTTATTGAAAAAGACACCATTTATGAAATTGTTTTAATATTGAAATACAAAACAATGGGGATTTATGTTTTAACAAAATATTTATAACATGAAAAATGTAATTTTCAGATTTTACATTTTTAGGCACAAGTAGATATTAAGATGGAACCGAGTGACGATGACGACAGTAGTGACGAGTCAGTTGATGATGGGCCTGTTTACTCATCAATGAAACAACCACCTCTGATTAAACAACTTAAGAAAATTCTTGATGAATATCCTGATGACGGTCAGATACTCAAGGTATAAAAATCATATCTATAACTGTCAATTGAATTTCAAAATTTGAACACCTATTCCTATTCTTTCAAAACTGCAGTTTTCAACAAATGCCTCAAAACTGATTGGAACAAATTAGTCTGCTTGAAATGAGGTATATATCCTCTATGTTTTCCTTAGTGTTTTCTTGTTTTAATGTATCTTCCGTACATTTGTTGAATTTAAAAGCGGCATTTTATTGGTTGAGGAAGGAAAATTCCTCGTAAAAACACCGATGTTAGGCGAGTAACATATATACAGGAAGATCGAGGGTACTTTTTCAATTTTGCAAACCAACGAAGCAAGTTCCGAACAGCTGCCGTGATTGACTGATGTGGACTGTACAGGTTAGATGCACAAAATTACGTTGACCACTAGGGTTCCACTATTTTATGACCTAAATCGTGTTCTTTTTGGTTGAATGTGGATAACAATTTACCCGCTGGATGATTATCACATCTTAATTACATTGAACATATATAAGACTAGTCATATAATTTTGGTAATAACAATACTGTCATATTGATACTAAGAGAAACTGAACTTTTCAGGAAATCATCCAAAATGCGGAGGACGCAGAAGCATCAGAAATGAAGGTTTTGTTCGATGGACGATCTATGAACAATGATGATAGTGTAAAAGGAAAACCCTTCACAAAATACTTTAAGGTAAAATAAATGATTAAATAAATATTATGGCTAACCCTGGCAGTGACCTCTAATACTAGTATGTAGAAATTGTATATAGGTACGTCTGAACCAGTGACAACTCTACAACAGCTTTATCCATCGGATCACCAGCAGTGATGGTGATACATGGCTGTGTACATTCTGTATATACAACTCGTCTAAACATCAGCCCAACAATGTTAGATCTGTAAATTTGCTTTCGCAATTTTTTTGTTCTTCCCTCGCCGGGATTCGAACTCATGTATAGGATATAGATAAAGCTTTAAAAAGTGGATTCCTCGAAAAGATAAACGCTAGCTGATTTTTTTTATCTAACAAATGTACATCTCTGATTAAACAGAGTTGAGATATACATCAATGAGACATCATCCTGCAGACATCAGAAAATGTGTTGTAAATCTTTGATAAAACTTTCGTTGATGGTGATAAAATCTCTATGATATGTATTCTAAATCTGGCAACTTAGATTGAAAAACTAGATTTTTATTTAATAATTGGAGGAAAATATAAAGAAAAGTTGTGATCTACACTTAAAAAATGAACATACTTTTGCGCTGATGCGGTGTAAAGCAATCATCAATCAACGAAGCAATCGAGATACATAAAGTAAACATTTATGTCAAAATGAAGATTACGACCTGTGTGATATTGTCCGTTTTTTTTTCAGTTCTGAGCTAATATAATATAATAATCTTTCCATAATTTACCTTTATTTATTTTTCATAACAGCTAATGACTTTTGGGACATGAACAGTATTTTATAAACAAAAACCATCTTTTTGAAACCCAGTACTTTTACATTTTCGAAAATATTATTTCATTAATTCCAATGCTGAAATGATTTAGGGAAAATTAAATCGTTTGCTTTTTGCAAATGTACAACAATGTTGAGTTTATGTTACGAAATTATAGAATTTAGGAGAGAGGCAAAATATACCATAGGGATATTCAAACTTATAAATCGAAAACAAACTGACAATGCCATGGCAAAAAACGAAAACGACGAAAAGACAAACAACAGTACACAAAACACAACATAGAAAACTAATGACTGAGCAACACGAACCAAATGAAAAATGATCAAAAATTGTTTTAAGTAAACCTATCTGGAAGTTTTCTTTTACAGGGTCCAGCCCTATGTGTGTACAACAATGCTCAGTTTACCAAGGAAGATTGGGACGGTATTCAGATGATAAACAGCAGTGTTAAAGAATTCGATCCTGTAAAGATTGGTCGCTTTGGACTAGGATTCAAATCTGTGTTTCATATAACGGGTAAGATTAACATTTACTGACGATGTTTATTTTAAAAATGATTTCAAATTCATTTATTATGATATTCATATTTACCCCTTAGAATCTTAAATAAAAAATATATTACAATGACAGGCAAATTTCGTTGATACTTTGATCCGTCAAATAAAAGTGAAAGGAATGGTTAGCACGAAAAATTCAAATTGTAGATGTTCGATATATATATGACTATTAGTCATATATACAGAATAGTTTATACGTTAGCAAATCTTCCTCTTATGAAGTCAATATAAGACAGTTGATAAAATATCGTTGTCTATGAAACTGTCACGAAGGACACTGCTTACAAATAAGCGACTGAACCAAGGTTTTCTAATGAAGAAATCAAAGACAGTACGACCTCGATCATGATGTAGCTTATTATTTTGGAATAATTTTGTGAGTGACCGAAAATAACAGTTGATATTTATAATAGTCCTGACCACATCCTTCCTCGTCGTTATTGATTTAACACCGGAATTAATACTAATAGATAGAATTAAGAATAGATTTCAAATTGCCTACTAGATATGTATATATTCAAACTTTCGTTTATGCTATATTTTATAGCCTACTTCGTGTATTGTAAAGTTGATGATTTTTATACAATGTTAGCTTTTATACCATGCGGTATGGGTGTTGATCATTGCGGAAGGCCGTACGGTGACTTATATTTGCTAACTTCTACGTTATTTGGTCTCTGGTGGAGAGTTGTCTCATAGCTATAGGCAACCATACCACCTCTTCTTATTTTTATATTCAGACATGATAAGGGTAAACGTCTGGGCAAGGAGTTTAGTTATCTCTTACCATTGTATACACATACTTTGTATATATATTTTATAAAAGTACAGAATATGTGAATGTTTTATTTATCAACTAGTCATAAAGGCCGGTTGAGTTATTTTAGAATAAGGGAAAACGTAATCATCTTTTGGTTTTTGGTGTGTTGAGTCGTCCGTCTTTATTTTCAAAACATCCCTATGAAACCTGAAAATAGAAAAAAAGCGTAAAGAGTAGATGTTGGCAAATAAAAAAAATCGAAATCCGAAAGATACTGAGATAAAACTAACTTGTCTGAAAAAGAAAACTTTTATGACGAATGGCATAAAATATGCACTAAAAATATTTAAATCTGGTGCACACAGAATCCAAGTGAAGGATGCAATCTACATATTCACACTGAACTTCCACGCAAATATATTACATAAAAACATGTATTTACTAGGATATGAATTACATGTGTATCGTTTTGATAAATTCGTCGTGAAAAATATAACATCATAAAAAACGTTAATATCTTTTTACTTTTAGATTATCCAATGATTATAAGTAAGAACAAGATGCTGATATTAGATCCACACCAAACTACCCCGGATCGTGTATGTATCCTGATGAAATTGAAAAAGTTGAAGGGGTATACAACAGAAATGAACATATCAGACTGCCTTTCAGCTCTAGAAGGAATATTTGGGTTTTCAGAAAATACGTTGCAGTCTGGAAAATTTACTGGTACATTTTTTCGGTTTCCATTGCGTTCAAAACCAACTTTGTTGTCGGACAATGTTTATGATGAAGCGAAGATTGATGACCTTTTCAGAGCATTTCAATCAGAGGCGTCAGTTGAACTATTGTTTTTGAAGTGTTTAGAAAGAATAGAGCTATATACAAAGAACGCCAGTGAGATGCATTCAGGTGAAGATTTGCCAATATATACGGTGAACATATCGGACAGTTGTATTCAAGATGCCCGCAAACAGAGAAAACAATTGCATGAGTTTATGAAATCTGTTGGGAATAGTTTGGCAGAAAAAAGTTTCATGGCTTCTTATAATATGAAAATAGAAATGACAGAACAAAATGGAGAACACACTGAGAATGAATGGTACGTTATGCACTGCTACAAAGGTGGGGAGATGTCCAAAGAGTTAAAGACTTTATCACAAGACGAGTCGTTATCATACAGCCCTTACGTGAGCTTGGGGTTGCCTTTATTTCAAGAACCTGAGTTCAAAGGTCATGTATTTTGCCTTATGCCACTTCCACTACAGAATGAAAGTTTGACAGGGTTTCCAGTTCATGTGAATGGATATTTTGCACTTACTCAAAACAGGCGTCATGTAAAATGGCCAACTGCAGATCAAACCAAAAACAAAGCCCACATGGACAAAACGATCAGATGGAACAAATGCTTAGTCATTGAAGTGTTGGCAGAGGCATATCATATGTTAATCAACGATACAATACAAATGAGCAAGAGCAAGAAGGAAGTAAGTGATATTCTTCAAAATACTTACACATGTATACCAGATCACAGAAGAATAACCAATGACTGGGCAATTATTCTCAATCCATTGTACAGCCGACTTTTACAAACAGCTTTCTTGTATACAGAGAACAATGGCGGTAAATGGATAAAATCCGAAGATGCTGTTTTTAACATTTTTAATGAGGACACACCTGAAGGTATGTAGCTTCAAAACTCTAAGCAAGTCTATACGAACAGTAATTGTTAGGAATTTTACTGTTATAGAATACATAACAGACCTATGACTTTTTCATTTATTTGATTTTATATAAAAAATATTTTACACTTTACAAATTTCGTACAGCCGAAGCGCTTTTCTGGATTTACCTTCATCCAAAACGCTCAAATCTAAACATTTGAAAACCAGATAGGTGTTACCAACTGCTACTATTTATTCCATAATAAGATATCAAGTTATCTTTAATTGTTATAAAGATGTTACTTTTTTGTCAAATCAATTACAAATGAACAATGGCAAAACAATTTTATTGTATTTCAAACCAAACTGATTGCATGTTTAAATTACAGCAGTGAAGGAAACAATCGTACGACTTGTTCAACGATATAACGTCAATCTTGTCAACGTACCAGAACATGTGACGTCTATGATCAGATACCGTGATTACTCAGTACAGAAGTTGACGCCAAAGTTTATCCTAAATTTCTTGAAGTCTGATGCAAAATACAAGAAAATGACCAGTAATGAGAAGCTTGATATACTTCATTTCATTCTCTCAACAAGGAAAAGCCTCAGTCTAGTTGGTGTTGAACTACTACCTTTACAGAATGGCAGTTTTACATTATTTGGAAATAGAGGACGGGACAAACGAATTATAGTATGTCAAGAAAAAATGGAACTCTTTCCAGGACAAGAAGATGTGTTCTGCAAACAAGGGCTTCAAACAGAGTTGTACAGACTACTCGTACAAATGGCAGAGAATAGTGAGTATATGGTTTGAAAGTTATTTAAACATAGCTTTGATTAAGATTAAAAGAAAAGATTTTTTCTCAATCATTTTGAACCTATGCCATTACAGAATACATGTATTACACGGAAAACAAAATTTAATGAACGAAAGTAAATAAAACATATATTTTTGTAATATTTGTTCTTAAAGTCATAAGATTTGAATTTCTTTTCTTAAGATGAGTACCAGCTTTGTACAATGGAAGACCTGTCAACAGATGATATAGCAACCCTTCTTCTTGGTACTATCAGAAAATACAACGGCAAAACAACCGATCATGCTTTACGCTGGAAAACATCCACAAGTACAGTTGCTGGTAAGAAATGGTTGACGAATGTTTGGAAGTTTTTACAAGATTATGACATAGACGACTTCAGTAATTTACATCTTCTCCCAAGCTGTTCACAAGGTAGTAAAGACTTTCTGTACAAACTATCAACTAAAGTTTTACTGAAGTCATATCATGGCTACACAGATTTACCTGACGAAGTTTGTAAAGCATTGAGTTACATTAACATCGTAACAGTTGACACACTACCAAAGGCAATCATAAACCATGAAGATATAAACAAGATTGTATATTTTCCAACAGTTGAAAATGTTTTCAACATGTTAGAAGATGTCACCTTACAACGTAATAGTGGCCAAGCTATACAGAAATTTAATAAAACCTGTACAGAAAAAGAGAGAACAGAATTTGCAAAGTACATTGCGACAAGTTCGTATTTTAGTTCCAATGTAGCAAATTTTATATCAAAACTACAAATTTTCAAAGAAAAAAATAGCGGACGAAACGTGTCTTCAAACGAAGTAAGCATCATTGCAGAGACAGAACAATTGCCGATCAAATATCAGAAGGAATCGTTAGTTTACTCTGGACATTTTCACAAGGCTTTGTTAAACCTGCAAGTGCCTACTATAGGTATGGAAGATGTAGTTATTGACGTAATGAGTTGCTTACAAAGAGGAACCCATTATTCTCACAATGAGATGAACTTGATGATGAAATTTGTAATGAGGATGTTAAAAAATTTTGAAAACAAACAAACAATTTTAGGCATCGCAAGAAACATTAAGTTTGTTCCAAATGGCCGTGGAGAAATGAAAAGAGCTATAGAATTGTTTGATCCGGAAGATTCTGATTTGCAATGGATCATAATAGATCAAGACCGTTTTCCAAATATGACTAAATGTCCTATCACTCTGAAACAAGTACGAAAATTGGGACTAAAAACAGGCAGTGAGGTGCATGCTAATGACATCTTGGAATGTGCAAAATACATAGAGTCAAAACCCCATGAAGACGCACAAGATCAAAGATCGTCGCGATTGTTTGATTTTCTCCAGAAAAATACCCAGCTTTTGCGAAGCATTACAGGGCAGACTAATCTATCAGAAAAGCTCATGAACGTGCATTTCATAAAACCGAGCTGTAGAATGGAAAACTTTCCTGATATGTTACCGTGGTTGGAATCTTCATTCCCATTTTGTAAGCCAGCAGAACTTTTTGATCATCAATACGTTCTTCTCATCGGAAGCGTTCAACCTGTATTACAAAAAAATGTCCAACCTGAACTGTCTAGAATATTCAGTTGGAACAAAACACCAAGCATCAAAAGTGTAATAGAACAGCTGTTTATCATCATTCGGGTATATGAGGACAAGTACAAACCATATCTTCTGCCATTGATTAATCAAATTTACAATTTCCTATCTGTAAATTATAGTAGAGGTAGCGAGGTCACACCTCTTAAAACAGAAAAATGGATTTGGAGCGGATTTGGCTTTGAACCATCATGCAATATAGTTATAGAAACAAAAGACTCCGACATCTCATTACAACCGTATCTATTTTCTCTGCCTCCAGAATTTAAGATACCAAAGTTGATACAGTTTTTCACTCGGATGAACTGTGTGAATTGTCAAGATACTGATCTGTTATTGAGAGTTCTACAGATGATTCAAGACAAATACGAAGGTGAATACCAGAACGAACGAGAATCAAAAATTGATCTTCATCTATGTATGAAAATATTGAACAGTTTAAAAGAATGTGATGATATTGACGAAAGAGTCCTGATTCCAGTACATACTTATACTACAGGAAGGGTTATTTTAAAACCAGCAAACGAATGCAACTATTGCAACGACGACTGGCTTAAAGGAGCAGCAGAAGAAGATGGTGATGAAATTTATTACGTACACCCGGATATATCTCATGACACGGCAGTGAAACTAGGTGTGCCGTCGCTTACAGATAAATTGCTTGAGGATACAGAAGGCATTGAAGAATGGGGCCAGACTGAACCTCTAACAAGAAGGATAAAAAATTTGATAAAGGATTACAAAGATGGACTATCCGTACCAAAAGAAATTGTGCAAAATGCCGATGATGCAGGGGCTACCAAGGTCTCTTTCATGTTTGATGAACGCGAAAACAAACAGTTTAGAACAAAATTACTTGACTGTAATATGGCAAAATGTCAAGGACCAGCCTTATGGGCATACAATGACGCTACTTTTTCTCAAAAGGACTTTGAAAACATCACTAAATTAAGTGGAGCAACAAAAGAAGACGATAGCTCAAAAATAGGAAAATTTGGATTGGGGTTCTGTTCTGTCTACAACTTAACAGAGGTGCCAAGTTTTGTATCGGGTAACCAGATAGTGATATTTGATCCACATACCACATACCTAGGTTCTGCCCTTAGGAACAAGAATCAACCAGGCATTAAAATTGACACAAGGACAAATCATTCTGTTTTAAAGAGAATGAACTCACAGTTTGAGCCATATAATGGGGTATTTGGTTGCAATCTCAATCCAGAGAAAGGAAACTTGCCATTGAATGGAACTTTATTTAGGTTTCCGCTGAGAACAGAGGAACAAGCCCGGGCGCCAAGTGAAATAAGTGACAAAGTTTACAATCGTAAGGAGATGATGGAGCTTATTGAAATATTTGTAAAGGCATGTGGAAATTTGTTGTTGTTTACCCAAAATGTAAATGAAATTGAATTTTATCACTTACCTTCCAACAAAACCGATCCGAGAGAAGCAGTTCTATTGTATTCTGCGCATCGAGAGTTGCAAAATACAATTGAGAAGCCGTTTGGAAAAAGCATATATACTGGAAAGAAAATAACAGTGTTACGAGACATGGCTGAAAGTCTGAGAATAGCCAAAAGAAACAGGCATCATGATTTGATGACAATATCGAACAGTATTTTGCAAGAAATAGTTATAAATGCAGATAACAATTTAAGAGGATTAGAAATAACTGGTTATTCTTCGAAGTCAACGTGGCTTGTTACCTGGGCATCAGGTGTAGACAGGAGCAAATTGATGGCATTGAATTCTAGAAAAAAAGGTGTATTGCCACTTGGTAGTGTTGCTTGTCTTTTGGAAAAACAAGATGAAGATAAATACAGCACCTGTTCATTGGAGAAATCTCCATTTGGATTTTATCAGACCAGCCATCTCTTTTGTTACCTTCCATTACCGGTGGAAAGTAAATTTCCTGTACATATAAATGGATCATTTGCTGTCAGTTCAGATCGCCGACGTCTGTCTTGTAAAACGACAGATGACAAGGATTCATTCGACAGTGAATGGAACGAAGCTCTTATATCTGATGCTATTTGTCGTGCTTATGTTACATTCCTGGAACATTTGCCTAACCTGAATATTGATCCTAATGAGCATTACTTTAAACAGTGGCCTGTTGAAGACATGGAACAAGGAATTTTTGCACTACTTAAGAAATCATTTTATAGAACCATATCAGATGCAATAAAACAACCTGTTGTTTTCCGACGAGGAGACAAATCTGTTTGCCTTAATCGCTCTAAATTTCTAGATCCAGTTTTGATGGAAGCTGAATTTGCCGAAAAGGCGTTTCAAATGTGCATTGAACATTTTGAAAATGAAGAAATTACAATTATACGTTTACCAAAAAATATAGGGAACTGTTTCACGAATTATGGGTGCGATGGTGCATTTAACGAACGAATTTTAAGTGTAGTTTCGTTTTATTCTGTTGTTGTTTTTCCATTTCTGACATCCGGTAACAGGGATGCATCTACGAATGACCAATTGATTCTTTTTGCATTAGATGCTTGTAGAAGATCCGACGATCTATTTCACTTAATGGAATCAACTTGTTGCATTCCAACAGCTCCAAACAGACTGTTCAGATGTCCTAATGAAACAATCGATAGAAACGGATTAGTAGGGCCTTTATTTGAAGTGAACGATGAACGATTTGTTGATTTAACAGACGACCGATACGACACCCAAGAACGGTTAGATGCATTGAACAAGCTAGGTATGATTAAAGGTGAACTTTCAGACAAAATGGTAATTGACAGAGCACATTCCATCCAGAAACTCGCAAACACAGATTTGCATCGTGCATTAGATCGATGTAGAAAGTTTGTTTCTTACATGAACAAGCAACGTGCAAACATCATGCCAAATGAAAAACTTTTGACAGAACTTCAAGTAATAAAGTTTCTTCCTGTCAAGACAAGGCCGAGGCACTGGAAGATAAAATGGGGAGGGGAAAAACTTGAATTGACAGAGCAAGCATGTTCTAGAAATGAAAATGATCGAATTCCTTTATTGTTTGAATGCCCATCAAATTTACATGCTGACTCCATCCTAGAACTTGTTTGTTCATTAGAAGCAGTTTTAGATAGATCAAGTCTTCCATATGATATAGATCACCAATTTATTAAAGAATTAGGTGTTATAGAGGAGGATGCAGTAGATCTTAAAACTGTTCTGGACAATCTGAAGACCATCTGTCGATGTTTTGATGATAAAGGTCCAGATGCAGATGAACTTGACATTCTCGATAAAACTACCATGAAAATATACAAATATTTAGATAAAATATTTAAGCAGAATGCATACGATGATGAAAAGCTTGAAGAAATTTTGCAAGTAGCAGCTGCATATTCTGGAGAGAAACTTATATTACTGAATGGAAAATTCATCCAACCTTGTCAGCTTTTTCTTAACCTATCAGAGGATTGCAGTCCATATTTGTATGGTTTGAACACGGCAGTTCATTTGAGAACTTTGAAAGGATTTATGAATTTGATGGGAATACACGAACAGTGCTCTGTTCAGACGACAATGCAAGTTTTATCATCAATTCAGGTGGGATATGAGTCAAACGACATGCCAGAAGATGCAGTTAAGGTGTATGTTAAGCTTCTCAGAGTTTTAGTTCAAGCGAACGAACTAGAAAATATGCAAAAACAACACTTCCAAAACTTATATATTCCAGATACTAAAGGAGTCTTGACTCATGTAAGCAAACTATGTGTCGACGAGGTTAATATCACATCTTTAGGAAAAATGAAATTTACTCATCCGAGCATATCATTTGATATTGCATTTGCCTTAGGAATAAACTCAAAGCGCGAACAAAAGATTGAAGAATGCTCAAAGCCAATCGAGATGTTTTCAAAAGATTTTGGTCAACACGAAGAACTTATAACAAGGATCAAGCGCATTTTATCTGGATATCCTTGTGATGCTGGGGTACTGAAAGAGTTACTGCAGAATGCTGATGACGCTAAAGCATTAGAGGTACATATTGTTATTGACTATAATAATCACGAAACGGACAACTTGTTTTCCGATTCTTGGAAGCCCTTACAAGGCCCAGCTATCCTTATCTATAATGACAGCTCATTCTCGGAAGCTGACATAAAAGGTATACAGAAACTTGGTATAGGAAGTAAAGGAGAGGATCCAACGAAAACGGGACAATATGGAGTGGGGTTTAATGCAGTTTATCATCTAACTGATGTTCCGTCGTTTTTAACAAAGGGAGACAATGTTGAAACAGGAGAAATCCTTTGTATGATGGATCCACATTGTACCTTTGTTCCCAAAGCTACACCTGAAAGTCCTGGAAGGCAATATTTTCATACAGAAATATTGAAAACAGATCACCCAAATGTATTTAAATGTTATTATGAAGACTTAATTATGAAAGAACACGGAACCATTTTTAGACTTCCTCTTAGAACTAGCACGCTTGCCTCAACATCAAAAATATCTTCAAAAGACATGAATGAAAATTTCATTCGTGGTTTAATTGAAAATTTTCAAGAGGAAATGTCAGAAATCTTATTGTTTGTAAATAACGTAAAAACTGTTAGATTATCAGAAATCATTGATGGCCAGTTAAAAGAGATATATGCTGTTACTGTAGAAATGACGGAATCCGACGAGGCAAAACGACGCCGTTTTTATAACGAATTGCACTCTTGCTCTTACCAGATAGGGCAAACAAAAGATCCCGACTGCATTAAAATGTCAGAGGTTAAATACAAAATAAATGTAAATGATACATTTGGGAAAAGGAAGAACTGGATGATTGTTCGACGTATAGGATTCCCGATGCATTCACCAGAAAGTGTTCAGGTAGCGTACAGACAATACGAATTAGGAGTTCTACCAAGAGGTGGAGTGGCTGTTCTGTTGCCAACCGAGGACAAAGTTCTACCTTCAAAAGGACGTGCTTTCTGCTTTTTACCACTCCCATTGGAAACAGGAATGCCAGTTCATATCAATGGACATTTTGTACTAGATCATGAGGCAAGGCGAAACTTATGGACAGAGGAAAAAGAAGGTTATCGATCTGCATGGAATAAAACATTACTGAAAAACGTAATAGCTCCAGCTTATGCTAGTGCTCTTCATTTAGTTAAAGACAATCTTGGTCTACAAGAGGGGAAATTGATGACGGAAAAAGAGGTGACAAAACTCAATGATGTCTATCACACATTTTGGCCTGAGGTTTGCAAAGCAAGTAATGAATACTTTAAATTTCTAGCTGAAAGTATTTATCAATGGATCTTTCAAAATGAAGAATCGCTTTTCTTAAGTTATAAATACATAAAAGAAGCTGAAGTAGAAGTTAAATTTCATCCTCTCATATGTAGCGAAATGGTTTTCCCTTGTGTATTCAACACACTAACTGAAGGAACAATGCCCAATGCATCGATAGAACTGATTTCCAGCGTCAGTCAAAGTATAGAGGAACGTTTTGTTAGTCTACAGAGAAATTTTCAAAAATTAGAAGATGAAACGAAAAGACAAAACAGCATGCATACTTTGGTTCGCCTCCTTAAGGACTTGGGGATTAAATTGCTCGATTCACCCAAAGCTATTTTGAACAGTTTAAAAGAAGCTGAAGTGAAAATTACCGAAATGTCGCCAGACTTTCTCATATCGTTTTTGAAATCTTTTAATTCTGCAGATACCGACAAATGTCATATCGGTAATATTTGTGAAGCAATCGAAAGAACTACATTCAGATCAGTTGAAAATCTTGTGACTTGTATCAAGTATTGCCAACAGAGCCAGTCCTTTGAAGATGAAATTGAAGGTTTGCCACTATGTCTGACCAACGATGGTATCTTGAGAGTTTTCAGCACTGTCTATCCAGTGTTTAGTTCAAAGTTTTGCTACATATTAAACGAATCCTCGAGTTTGTTTCTACACTCTGAATTGGTTAGTAGTATTTCAAGAACATCGACTGGAATAAAATCATTTACAATTGATTCTTTTTCCGAATTACTGTATAACACACTGACCGCCGAAATGTACAGAACACACAACCAAGATGTAAAATGGAATCCACAAATAAGACAAATCCCAAATAAATCGTGGATTGAGTCGGTATGGATGTTTTTGAACTCGGAAGTTAGAGAACATACAAATAACTGCAAACAAGACACAGCTGTCATTACATCGGAAACTATATTAGCATTGTTAAGACCAGTACTACCATGGTGTCTTATACCTTGCATTGATGAACCAGTTAATGAGAAGTTTGACAACTACAAGCCAATTTTGACTCCAATCGACAAATCGATGTGTGTATTGGACATTGAAAGCTATTCAGGATATCTCAGGAAAGCTCTAGAGAGTCTTCACCTACCGTGCGTTGACATTTTGGTTGCCCCGAGTGATAGATTGATTTTAAATTACATTATTGTCAATTACAACAACGCTGGAGCCCTTTTAAATTTTCTTTTTCAGCACAAAACCGATATCTGTAACAGACGTATAAGTGTAAAAAATTGCTATGAGATAATGGGGTTCATTTGTGAAAATCTGGACAAAATACTAGAAAACTGTGATGCAGACATCGAAATAGACAAGATGAAGGCGATCCCTTTACATTCAAATGTAAACGGACATAACATTAGTATTAATGGACATTCTAGTATATTGGTTCTCGACGATGCTGTTAGTCGAGACATAGTTGTTGACGGAATCGAAGAGTGGGCCATTTCGTCAGGCACAATCTTACTAAAAACATCATCAAAGCTGAAAAAGCTGTATGCTAGGATGGGTTTAACAAACGAAAATGTAAAACCTATTGACGTTTATACTAATTACCTGCTACCAAAGTTTCAATTTTTACCAACGATGGTTCATTTGAAGCATCTAGCATACATTCAAAACAGTCTGTTGGCGAAATCTTTTGAATTTGATGATCATCAAAAAGATCTTATAACGGTTCTACAAAATGTTGCTTTTGTGCCAGACAACCAAAACGTGTTTTTTAAAGCATCTCATTTTAAGAATCCTTTTAACGATTTGATGCAACTGATGTGTAGTCAGGATGATTTCCCAGGTAAACCATTTGGCGACCGACACTGGAAATACTTACTAGAAACAGCAGGAATCCAGGACGAAATCACAAGAGAATTAATTGTGGATTTTGCACGCATTGTAGAGAATTTAGGTCGACTTCAAGTAACAGACGAAGCAAAAAACAAATCTGCAAGGTTAATTGAATACATTCTAAATAGAAATCAAGTAGAAAAGGAAGGTGTATTGAAAGACATTAGAGGTATCAAATTTATTGTGCCACATACTGTCGAAAAATGGAAAAATCATATCTTTAAACAACCAGAGACTAAGCTCATTTGCTTTCAGAGCTCAGTTCCCGAAGAGTATTCCGATATGTGCTGGACTACATGTTCAATTCTACCATATTTTGCCAATCCTCAAAGTCTTCGTTCTAAATCACTCAAAATTCAAAATGAGATGCTTCAACAGTTGCAAGTGCAGAAAGAACCCTCTTTGGACAATGTAATTCATCATACTCAGAATATTTGTGATTCTTTGAAGTTGTTGGCAAATCAAAACGGAATTCAAGATACACATGTAATTTGGATTGAGCAGGTCATGATTAATTTATACGCATGGCTTCTTAAATATAAAGATTCCAATTCAGAAAATTTAAAGAAATCCCTTTCGCAAAAACCGATAATCTTCATTCCAAAGTCGAAGTTATTAGTCACCTGTGATCGAGTAGTGAAAAGTTTACAAGTAGAGGAAATCACACCATACCTGATGGAAGTACCGGAACAATATGGTGCCTATTTTAAGTTATTTGAACTTTTAGGCATGAACACACGTGAAAATATTTGTAACTTTGTTAGGGTCTTAGCTCATCTAAACATAGATGTTGGAGACAATATGCTCCATGTTAACGAATTACAGACGGTGAGAAAAGCCCTTCAAGGAATCTGCAATCATCTTCCTTTGCTTAATGATGAACTGAAAACTGATCTAACCAATATAGACACGTTGTATTTGCCAACAAGGGATAAGTTTCTAGCCAATGCGAGAAACATTGTTTTATCGGACAACAGGGATTATGAGGAGAAGATTGGAAATGATATTGGAATGCCATACATGATGCATTTAAATGAATTGAATGTCTTCGGTGTTGGAAACATTGTTTTAGATTTCAAAAAAATGCCATTAAAACTGCAGCCAAATATCTTATCGGACATGATAGCGAAACAACTTAATGCAGAAGCGCTGACCGTCCGATTTGACGAGAAAGGACGATTACTTCGTGATTTCATAGTCACGCCTCAATTTTTAGAAGCTGCAGTAAGAATAGCTGTTCATTGCAGGGGAAGAAGATCATATCAAGCTAAAGAGACCGAAATAGATGTTGATAGAATAATAACAAGTATTGAAAAGTTACAAATAATGCAGGTTGATATGGTCCAATTAAAGTTAGTGTTTGGAAGCAACATTGTTGGTTACAGTGAGGAATCGTGTTACTATTACACAAAAACAGATATGGAAAACGAAACAGAACATATTTTATTGTGCTGTTTTAGGGATATAAAGATAACAAAATGGGTCGTTGAAAATTCCAGGACAATAAGTAGAGCACTGCAAAGTTGTAGCAACAACGAGTTCACTGACACCGAAGGTCTTTTATTTGTTGTACTACACCATTTGAAAAACCCAGATAGCATATCGAAAGCTTTAGATAAAGAAGGAATTTCTCAGTATTCAATAACACAACGATGCAGAACGTCAATTTTCCCGCCTGCTGGTACAACTGTTCATCCAGATTGGCACTGTTACCTCGACAATAGTTTTTCTAACTTTGAAGTGGGCGAATATGTTGCTTTGCTTTTAAATGAAGAAACCGTCGAAAATGACACATTTATACCCGCTTTATACATATATGCTATTATTGTTCAAAAATTCGAAGAAGCTTCTTCTTCTTCCCTGCTCAACAGTACACTCTGTATGTATGAGGTAGACGTAGGTGAAAGAAAAGAGAGAAAAAGAGCATATGATCTTTACAAGTTCAACCGTACCACTCAAGAGAGCTCAACAGAATTAGCACCATTCTTAGATATAGCAGATTCACCAAAGGATGATAGGAATCTAGATGAAGTTTTGAAGGAAGTAAAAGAGATGATAAAGGCAGCATGGACACTTCCAGAGGATGAGAGAAGAAAGGTTATACGACGTTTGTACAAAACATGGCATCCTGATAAAAATCGTGGTAATGAAGATTTTGCCAAGAAAGTATTTCAATTCTTACAGCAAATTGTGTTTAAAATGGAAAGTGGACAAGACATTGATTCTGACAGTTCTAGCACCTTTGAACCACCAAGAAGTTCACATTTCTACTCATACTTCCGAACTTGGGATCGAGATGCCAGACACGATTCAAACAGAAACAAACGACGTCGTGGCAGACGCGGTGGCCGTTCCGGACATTCCAGACGACAACCACAAGAACCTGTACCCTCATATCATGAATCAGGACAATGGATACGACAGGCAAAAGTTCACCTAACTGGTGCCATAGAATTCTTGCCTAATGCTGATATTGGGCCAAACTTCAATTCGATCTGTATGATATGTTACCAAGTAAGTAAACATACATTAACATTTGAAATTAAGAATTGTATATCCCTTTTGCATAGCATAGTTTTTTCTGCATAAATTTCTTGTCCGGGTTTTCCAATATATTTTGTCCTTTACAATTATATCAGCTCTTCGACGCTACTATAGGGTTTTGGTTTAAGATTGTTTGGCATCTAGCATCACCGAAGAGACTTTAATTGTCAAAATACGCAGCTGGTGTAGTAAAATGTGTACCGTCTAGTTTTATTAACCATATAATATATAACCTTCATCTATTTGGATGGAGATTTGTGTCCGTTTCATACATTATACATTAAATGGCTACAATTAAATAAATGTTTGTTATTAACTCTTGGCATTTAAGAGCTTTATGATGTATAGACAATAATAACTAATTTTGAAGACCGTATGGTGACCTCTTGATGTCTTTTGGATATTTTGTGTTGTTGTGTTGCTCTTTTTGGTGTATATCCCACATATACTCTTATTCATATGATTATACTTTATATAGAATAGTTGATAAGGATACCTTGTTTTATATGAATTCTATTCAAAGCTACAATTTGAAATAAAAAAGTTTTTCTCCCATATTCAATGACCTCTTTATATATTTCAGTCTGTTGAAATGGCACTAAAAGCCATGTATTATCTGACAGATGCTAACAATATACCTGATACAAAGAACATCAGTGAACTTGCAATGAGACTAGATGGAGATCTCAAAACACTAGTTCAAAAACTAGTAATACTGGTCGGTACCCCTGAAAGAATGATTTATCCAGACAGGCTGAAAATACCCCAAATTCCATCTCAAATGTACAGTAAAGATACTGCTGCAACAGCCGTAGAAGTCACCAAGACTATTTTGGACTTTATATCAGACAGAACTTTAAGTTAATCCACAGGTAAATTGTACCTTTAGACCTATTATTTGTAATTGATGCATAAATTACAGTGTAGAAATAATCTGTTGCTGTATAAGTAAAAGTAAATCTTTCATAATGTTTGCTTTCGCTTCACTTCGTATGATTCCACAACTGTCAATCTAACATGTTTGTACCAAAACTATTGGGTATCGCTTGATATGAAAGGATGGATTTTTTTTATCAACATTTGAATCTTCTGTAACTTGCTGTTTCCAAAACACCAAATATTTAAAAGCATTAATTTTTAAATGACACATGTTTCTTATATAATTTATAGAGGCTTGCTTTACAAAGCCAAACATTTATATGAAAGAAAAGTGGAAAAAGATACAAATGAATTATTCAAAACCAAGAAAAGCAGACAAGCCCTGACAAAAAAAAACTACGAAAAGACAAAACAGCAATCCCGAACTAAAATAATTAACATCAAGCAACATGAACCCAACCAACGACCTGGGTGGAACTCGGGTGCTCCGAAAGTTTAAGCAGTTCCTGTTCCCCTTGTTATCTCCCGTAGTGTGGCAAGTTTAAATTCTTTGATAAGTGCAGTATTAATTTCGTAGAGTTGCATACACCGAGAAATCAAAAAATCCTGTCATATCATCCGAGTGTTACATTTTTACACGATAGTACAAAAAAACAATCAAGTTTAGTTAGAATAACACGACATGTACGTCCTTACCCCACACTTGAATGGTCAAATGTCTGTTAGTTTTTGGTCCTCAATGGTCTTCAACTTTGTATTTTATTTGGCATTTAATTTTTTTATACGAACGTCAAGGATGAGTCTTTTTAGACGAAACGCACATCTGGCGTACACAATTATAATCCTGGTATCTTTGATGAGTTTTTCTTTAATCATTAATTTAACGTGTTTGGTGTTATCTGACAGAATTTTCCAATTTTGTTCTATAACCGAATAGGGGTCACATCTGTAGCTGTATTAATGACTTCATAAATGTTTAATATTTATAAATTGTTTCAACTGTCATTTGTTTTCAGATAAAAGGATACATGACTCATTGTTATCCAGCCGGTATTAGACGACTTTAACCAACCGAATTCTTATTATAATATTCGGTGAATGTTATTAAATATAACATTATATTTATTGTGCAGTGTTAAGAAGAAGAAAAATTTACAATAAAGTCTTTAAATGTTCATATCGAATAATGATTAAGTATACTTTATTTCATGCCTCTTTAATAAACTATTTTTTAACATTAACATTCCTCTGTGTGAATCTGAAATTGTTTCATAATGTTACAAATTAAATATTTTATTTCATTCTAATGTTGTGAGAAGTGTCTCATTTTGAAATGACCTGTTTGACCTACATATTTTGTTTTTACACTATGGATACTAGATTATATTATTGTGAAATCTTAAACAATTCTATTTTAGTAAAAACCAAAAAAGAAAAAAAAAAGAAAAATGGAGGGAAATTTTTTTTGCAAAAAATAGGAAATTGTACAGTGTAGATTATTTAAATGAACATTTTGTTTATTATGTATGATTTATAATATTTGATTCGTTTTACAATGTAGTATAATAGGTTTTGTCTCTACTACACTTTTCACGAATAGTTTTTAATCATATCTGATTTAAAATAACACTTATGTCATCGATTGTTGTATATGTCAATTTTGTTATTATGAGTAATTTGTGTAAAATGCATAAAAATGGGCAAAACTTGATGTTTGATCTTTTGACTTTAAATCATGTTAATAAGATCCTTTTTTCTTTTCTGCATTTTGTATGCAAAGAAAAATGATATTTTAGTTTTACAAATATATATCAATTGTTTATTCAAAATGAATATGAAGTCGATAAATCATGTAAAGCATACTGCACGAAAATATATCAATTTCATACTCTTATAATATGGCAATGCTCAAATCAATATTTCCTTAGTGTCATCTTCAAATTTGAAATATTGAGATATAAATATATAGATGAGACAACAGAAAAATCGTACAAATCAAAAGAGATAACTTTATAAATTCCAAACAATTATTTTGAATTTTTTTAATCTTTCTGTAATAGGTATATATGTAACTTATAATAGCACGTTCATGATATGGGAACAGTAGATTGTTAGTGCTTTTTTCACGTCAACTTGAGTGTTTTCCTGACTTTGTACATAGTTGAAACTAAATGATTTCTAAATCATTCCTAAAGTTTACTCTGAAATACATGTTTTTTTTTTTATTTTGGATTAGTATTATTATTGTCATATTGAAATGAATCATTCTTATATGATGAAAGTTTAAATTTATTAGATTTATGGAATTTTTATGTGTAATATAAACTCTTATTATATTAATCATAATTTTAGCAACAAGTTATCATTTGTAATTTAGATATGAGAAAGTTACTGTGTCATTTTAGTTTTTATTTAATGATGCCACAACACACTGGGAATAAGTTTGAAGAAAATAAGAGATTTGTTTTTGAGGAGAGTTTTGAGATCTGTTGGGTTTTTTTAATGATAAATTTAAGAGATTTGGGGTTTTTTTAAATCATTTTGTGAACTGCTTTTGGTCTTTTCGCGTTTTTTTCTTCCTTAGCTTTGTCATTCTTTGTGATTTTGATTTTTTTTAATAAATTCAATTTAAGATATATAAAGAAGGAGATACGGATAGTTTCGTACTTCTTTGTAAAAGTTCTGGGACTAACAGTAAACAATCCTTTTTATCAGAAAGAGGTTATGCAAATATTTCCTTATAAAGTTAGGAAGACGAGAAATTTTTATCAAAACAAAAATCTACATGCAAGTAGTAGCAGTTTAAATGAATATGATCGAGTTAGTAAAAGCATATTACATGAAGTCGGTAATTGACATAGACAAGACAGCAACATCAATCAAGCATAAGAATTGTCATAATTTGTTATTGTGCATTTAATTTTTGTTTTGTTCTAAGTTTACTTCACCACGAGATAAAGAGTTTTCTTTTTCTTCTTTTTTTTTACAGTTTGTTGTTTATATTTTTCAGTTTTTTATGTATTTGTTTATTTATGTTTAGTGCATGCTCAAGTGTGTGTAACTAATAAAACCATTGATTTTTGATTACATTGTCAAAGTTAAAGTTTTCGTTAATAACCATTTTCATTTGCTATTCTTGACAATATTTTCATAACTTATAGGTTTTGTTGCAACTGAATTATATGTAAAGTACAATGCTTAGATCAATGTCCATGTGTTTACTGTTTAAATATTGTTTTCATTACTATGTAGCAATTTGATAATTAATTACAATATTTACAATAATTTTCTACTTATTTGTGTTTCTCTGACGAAAATAGTTTGTTTTTATTCATCTGCAATAAATTTGAATAATTTAATGTATTTTGATTTATTGGTTTATAATATGTATGTCGTTCTCCCCATGGTGTTCGATTTGTTTCATTTCATTATATTTGATTTGGAAAACTTCACCTTAATAAACCAGGACCAGATCATATAACCTATCTGCTATACAAATACTATTGTTCTTCCACTTATTCATCACGAAATAAAACATATTAGTAAGTCAGCACCGGAAGTAAGCGATACAGCTTTAGTTAATTTTTCGAATTGGGTTGAGGGTAAGTGTTCAAAAATTAAACATTTATCTCTACTAAGACGTGTTGATAATCATCATTATATGTAGCTACTAGATCATGGCTGAAATAAGAACTTTATATTTTAAAGGTTTTTGCTTGTTCGCACGTCCAATGTTTGCTAATTGCAAGTAACACACCTAAGAAAAATGTGTTGTGCGAACGGATGTCAAATCATATTTTATGAGTTAAGAATAGGAATCAAATGATATATGAAGTATGCGTTTTAAAACTAGATAGCAACCTAGTGACACGAAACAGACATCTAGAGGCTAACTTACTATCTTCAATATTAAATAGAAAGGTGCCAATACAATATATCAAGCTCTATATCATCCGCTTAAACAAGTTCTGAAAAAAGTTTTGCAATCTTCACCACATTTGCAAAACGACAAATCAAACATAACTAAGGCAAGGTGACCCTACACGGATTTTTGGCAGCACAAATTAGCGTCTCCTTTTTTTTTTGGCTATCACAAAACAAAGAAATTCGACGACATTAATGACAAAACCAAGGCAACAAAGAACCGCCATAAGAGTATCATCGGTTTTCGAGAAAACATGTAAAACACCGAGATCCCGTGATCTAAGTTACAACACGCGATATATCTCAAACAAAAGAGAAACATATTAGGCAAGTTTTTGAAACAAGAATACGACACTGCATGCTCATGATAAAACATTAATATAACGTGTTTTTCTAACTTAGCTGCCATGTAGGTTATTCATATGGAAAATTGGCTCACACCATGTATCTGTGCTTTAAAAAAAAAACCCACAGATCTCATTGCCATGTTTAAGCCTTGTATAATATACCGATGTCAGAGCGCACGACACGAGTTCTGGAATAACTTTTTTAGTTTAGATTGTTAAAATTTTTTTTTCTTCGGAAATCAAAAAGAGAAGTAAAACAATTTAAAACACGTAAGTGAAATATTGTTGGTCTATAAAAAACAACTAAAACGTTGCCTGATGGAGAGAGTTAAAACCATAGTTTTAATACCATTACAGAATGTATCAAATAAAAATTTACAATAAAAATGTATCATTTAAATCAGGCGAGTATCGAATTAATAGCTCCTGCTCGGCTGATACGCTCTGGTAATGACAGTCTAATAGTAGGGTAACGGCCTAGTAGTATTGATAAATCATATTACACTGACTTCAGTGCGTATTTTTGTAAAAATCTTAAGACTTCATTATAAAGGACAAAATAAATAAACGTTATCGAGTTTTTATGAAGCTAAATACATAAACCGTTTCAGAGCATGAAAATCAAAATTATAACTACTAATATAAGATAACAGTAAATCAACAAAAATGACAAATATAATGTAGCTACTAAACGAGAGTGTTGGTCTTATACAGTGTAAGCTTGACAGTTGTTTTGATTTCCGCGATAAGTGCATGAATGCATAAAACTGCGTCAGAATGAAAACAAACAGTTGACACCAACTTTTGATTGCAAAAAAACTGACGTATGCAATTCTTCCTTTATGAGAAAGCAATTATACAATAACAAGTTGTAACCAAATGCAACGTCTAAGCGTGTGGTAAGCATACACCTGTTGTTTTCTGCCTTGCATTAGTTCTTGTAATTTCAAATCTTTAAAACTGTTTTAAAGTAACAAAGGTCCCCAAGAAATCACCCCTCTAAACACAGTCCAGAGTGTGTGCTGTGCACATTGTACTTGATATAACATAACGCCCAAAAGATTACGTGTCAGAAATTTCTTGCCCCTAACCCCTAAGAACTTGTGAAATGATAGGAACGATCTATTTTGGAAGATGATTTTTTATGATAGTTTACTTTTTCAAAATAATTTTTATATAGGGAAGGCATTGGTTTTATGAGATGGTTTGTCAAGCAGCATAGAAGAAGGTTAACATCCCTTAGTCGCATTCTCGAGAAAAAGCATTGACCGAAACTAGCATATCAGCGTCAAGTGCAAAATATAGCGTCAAATTTTTGGTGAACGCTTTTTTTCAATCTGTATCAAAAATTTATTGATATTAATAGCAGTTATAACTATTGAAAAAGAAAATCCGAATGCTTATATATTGCAATGTTTATTATCTCAGATCGACATAAATAAGTACAAACATTATATGGTGTAACTACCTGATACAGTTAAAATTATAAAAAAAATAAGACTTTTCGTATCGTTGATTTGAGAAACATGGAACTTTCAAAATTACATGTTGTAATAATGTTCAATGAATAAAATAAAAAAGTAAGAAGATATGAAGAGGTAAATAGAAAGACGGACAACAACATGGCATAAAAATGACATTAAACAGTCAACAAAACTCTTTTACAGTAGGTAATATTAAATCATTGGATAGCTAAAGATACACCTAAAATCAAAACAAAAATAAACAATACCATATTAAAGAATGCTTGCAGATACTAAGAGCAAGCTAATAAGTAATAAACTTGCTAAATTGAAATCATACCGTTATGCACCGTACTTCGGAGCAACAGCGTAATAAATAAATAATGGAAGACGTGATCTTGTGCAATGTCTTGGACAAATATCTATAGAATTTCAATGCAGATAACAAGAGAAACATTTAGTCTTGTTTTAACTATGAATAAACGAATTGATGTTAACTCACCTAAAACCCAGTTAGAATGATGTTAACTCACATAAAACCCAGTTAGAATGATGTTAACTCACCTAAAACCCAGTTAGAATGATGTTAACACACATAAAACCCAGTTAGAATGATTGAACAACTACAGTATTATTTTAACATTTAGTTTAACAATTATTAATTTCTAGACAGTAACTTAAGATATGAAACAGGCTTGAATGTGTCTGTTGTATCCTTTATTTCTTTTCAATGGGATAGATGCGACCAACAAAGTCACCAACCTTCAATATCTAATGATCTGTACAGAATGTGAAGTTAAAATACAAAGATAGCTTATTTTAGAAGTCTCTAGGTAGGATTAACATGCATTAGAAGTTGTGAAAATTGTTTGCCTTCATCTTTTCGACTAGCACACAAAATAATAAACAAAAAATGAGAATAAGTAGTACAATGTAGTACATGTATATCTTAAGGCTTTGCCCTTTTTAAAACGAAACAATATAGGTGTGGAAAATAGCGGGAATATTCATCGGATTATGATAAATAGTAACAATGTTTTAAACACGTTGAAGTGATCAGCACATTTCAAACGTTATTACAACTTTAAATTATATTGTTCTTGTTGTAATGAATTTCTAGAAGAAGAAAAAATAACTTGACAAGCATTGTTAGCATTGCAGCCAAGGAAAAAATGTCACTTCGACATTTTAGTTATTTCCGTTCACGTGTTTTAAAACTGATCGACATCTTCTCTTCCTGCCCACTTTCCATAACCTTTCTCAATAAAAGTTTGATACAAATTAGTCTTTCCGGCTTGGTATTGTTCAGCTGACATTTTTGCCTTATGGTAATTTGTGTGTCTGTCCATCAGGCGTGGAAAAGGAAGAATTGCTTTATACAGACAAAACAGTTCTTTCTTGCACAGTCTTGAATTAATACCTGAATCTGGTGGCGTTGACCTAAATAAATGATACAATATGTTTCTAAATCAAGATTTGAAATAGAACATAAACAGAATCAACAATTGCTAATTTTTTGATAATGGTATTCCACAAGGTAGTGTTGTATGCATAAAGTTACTAAAACATCCAAAACTTTATCAGAATAGTATTACATTGATTGTAGACGGGATAGCTATCTTCTTTTAATTTTCATAATGGTCAAATAAGGTAAATTGTCCGAGTCAAAATTAAACAAGACTTACCAGAATATGAAAAATGCATTATTCTGGCTACTTGAACGGAATATTGTTAGAAGCAACTCAATCGTACAGGAAAACTCAGCATTGTATTCTCGTAATTTAAGGTGTTTTTGCGAAGATAGTTAATGTTTGAGTACATCCAAATGTCATTGGTTTAAATTGTGGTGAAAGACTTACTTTAAATATAAATCAGGGCTAACTTTTCCGGTTCTCCCATTCGTAACTTCAGTTGTGACATCGACAATGTTCCAGTTCACACTGACTGGCTTAGATTTTCCTATCTCGGGTAAATCACAAATAGTAGATATAGCAATTTCTGGGTGATTAACTGTTACGGAACTCATTACACTAGATATTAAAGGAGACTGTTTCTTCACTCGACAGCACAAAGCTCTGGACAAATGATTAAAATTATAGACATCACCTAATTTAAAAGACAAAACAATCAATAAGTTTCCATAGTTACATTTCAATGTCTTTGACTGTAAGGGAATATAATGTGGATATCAGACCTCTGAGGTCTCTGTTTAATCTAAAGAATTCACATTTTTTTTTATTGTCTTTTGTTCAAGATCGTATGCTGACCTCTAAAAATCTATTGTTTTTTTTTTGTGTCGTAAGTTGCCGGCTTTCTAATGTATGCCCTACATCTCCCTTCTACTTGTTCGTTTTGACTTTTCATCAATTTAAAAAATTGAGAAACAAAATTTAGATCAAAATTTTACTGTGTTCTTGATCACAAACCGATAACGCTGGTATATTCTGTTTTTATTCTGTAATTTGATATGCATTTTTAACCATTTATTTGTCACGGACAAATACGAGTGCAGAAGAGTAGAGTAATATATAGAATACTTCTATTTACTTACCGACTACTACAGAGGAAAGAAAGAGGGGACTGTCCATTACACTGGACAAGAGAGCACCCTGGAGTCCTAGTACATTCCATTTACAGATCTTGTCACTACAGCACATCTTATGTAGTCTATCATCTGGTAACTCACTTACCGGTATGGCACCTTCACCTGTAGTAATGGTAGTTCTTTTTAAGTGCTTAGAACAAGTGCTTTGTATTTAAAGTCACATGCACAAAGTAACTTGGAGGCGTTATATAGGATCTGTACTGACAAATGTTATTGCTAGTTGATACACAGGGATTTATACTGGTAAAATAATATGAGTTGGAAAGACTTCTTTGTCATTCAAATATCAAAATTCGTATCATATAATCATCTAATCGAAGAAAAAAAATCATAACTTTACGGTAAATAGCAGACGTGTATATTGTTCAGACATCGAAGTCATAAAATGCATGCACACATTTCCCATATTTTAGTTTTGTGTCGAATTTGGTTGATTGTAAGTTTCAGGCATTTTCAAACTAAATTTGATTACCAATTGCATTGTTTGTGACGTGTGAACTTATTAAACGATCGACTAATATTATGTAAGTCTTTTACCTCTGGCGATTTTTGCTCGCAACAATCCTTGCTTCTTGTCTGATTGAATAGGATTATGAATATTTCCAGTATCAGTATGGGAACCAGGCTGACTGATTTGAAAAATACATTAGAAATGATTAAGACTTATTAAACAGGATTTTCATTTCAATGAATGTTAATTTTGTGGATTAAAAAGTTACGCAACACTCTTTGAAATCCTTATATAACACACTTCCAAAATGTTATGGTCACATCATTGTTTAACAAAGCGTACACATACTGTACAAAATTATCAAAATCAATGTGACCTTTTAAGGTCTCTTTTTCTATATTGATTATGGTAACAAATTAACACATCAAATAGTACAATAATTGTTCGTACCTTAATGTAAAGACACTGCCGTCTCCACATGGAGCCTTTGATATATACAGATGGATTTTTATACCACTTTGTAAAGCTATCCTTCCATTGGGAAGAACTTTAAGCATTCCAAGTGTATCTCTTTTTTCTCTTTTTAAACGGTATACTTCTTGATATAATACCCTAAATAAAGTATTAAGCCATATAAATTCGTAAAAATTATTGCAACTTATCAAATTGTTCTGACTTTAAGGTTTATACATTTGACAAATGATCAGTTTGTATTTTATCTTAAGAAAATTCCTCTATCTCTGTATCTTTCCTTTAAGAAAAAAACAAAACAATCTGAAGACAATGGAGGCATTAACAAATATTTTCTATGTCTAAAATTGACATTCCTAATAGATCTTTAATAGAGGGTTTAGTTCTCCTACACCTCTACACTTATTATTCAACACATTTAGATAACTTTTCAAGTTATGAATAATAATCAGCTGAATTAAAAAACTGTGTTGCAACTTTTAAAAAATCTGTATAGAAAATAATTATGATACCTTTGGAATCCTCTTTTTGCAATAATTTCCGCATGAGAGTCAATAACAGTTTCTCCATTATTTCCCAAAGATTCCTCATCCACAAATACGTTACCTATAGTATAACAGAACAGAAATATAAAATAAAGATATGTAAATTTATATACTTTAAAATTCTTCGGAAATAATAATAGCCTTTTTGTTTTTTGCCATGGCATTGTCAGTTTATTTTCGACTTATGAGTTTGAATGTCCCTTCGGTATCTTTCGCCTCTCTTTAATTGTTGTACAAAGTCAATTTATCATTTCCAAGTTTATACCTAGAATACGTTGTGATAATATTTATTTGTTTTCAAGATGGTGTGTACTGTATCATTAATAATTTCTACACAATTTTACTTAAACAATCGACAATAAAAAAAAGTTATGCCATTTGCAGCCTAGGAATTACTTGTATGTATTTTTAATTCTCTGTTTTATTCTAGAGTTCATAGTCTTACCAGATCCAAGACTTAAGACAGTTTTCTGACCAGTCCGACAATTCTCCATGATAACTGATGCTACCACCGATTCTTTATCGATACTAACGATGACATTGTGTGTTACGGATTCAAATGTTTTATGGGTTATCATCGCTAGTTCATCATAATGCGACAAATGTAAATATCTGGGGGAATTCTACAAAAAAGTGAAAAGGTATTCTGTCAACATAGACTCATAACTCGTCAACATTTAATCATATTTCTATAACTTTAATAGTAGTAATTGTCTAACTCATAACAATCATGATGTTTTCATTTACTTAACCTTTAATATAAAACACCTAGACGTCAACGTATTACATGTCTTTAATGCACTTTTATTGCTATCCCTGGGTTAAATTAAATTAGAAGTACAGCAGCCGATATTTGAGTGCAAGAATGGATGAGAGTATTGCGTGTTGATACAATAATTTGAAGTTGGATTTAACATGTTTAAGTTACTTAATAAATTATTTGATATTGCATTATCAGGTTTTTTTCTGTCAATATGGATGAATGGCCTGTATTATAACTAAATTCAGTAGTTTGTTTTTTCAGTTTCGATTAAAACTTTTTTTTCCAGTAATAGAAGAAACAGAAAGGATGTAGACTAGAATTGTTTCACATTTTTATGTCGGGGCCTTTTAAAGCTGACTATACGGTATTGGTTTTCCACATTGTTGAAGGCCATACGGTGACCTAGTGTTGCTTAAATCCATGTCATTTGATCTCTGGTGGATAGTTGTCTCATTGACAATTATACCACATCTCCTAATTTTTATATTTATATGACAATTCTACTTTATATCCTAGCAAATATTTTGGAATGTTGAAAGAAAATATGATAATAAGGAGATGTGGTATGATTGCCACTGAGACAACTACCCACCAGAAACCAAATGACATGGATGTTCGTAACAACATTTTTTTAATATTGTATGATGAATATGTTACATACTGAGACGTCATGACAACCCGAATACGTCCAGTTATACGTGGTGATAAAATAACCTCGTCCAATGTCCATTCATCAAATGTAGAATAATTATGTATAATTGTTCATTTCAAGGATGAGACACTCGAACAGGACCAAAAAAGATACGGCGCTAATCCAATTATTTTGATCCATTTAAAATCATATTAGTTCTTAGATAAAAACGATAACTTAAAAATTAAATAATTTAACTTATTATTGACAGTAATCATCGAGATCTTTTAACTATCCTCTGATTAGTTAAAATAGTTTACATTTTTAGATTGACTACTAATTGCACGAAAACGACGAGGGATTTTAGAGCCGCTTATGCCACCAATGGACACAGGGCAGTATTCAATTTAAATGTATGCTAAATTAAGGGGGCACACCAGTGCTCTCTCTTAGTTCCGCCTACCAAAAAATGATTTATAGATCTAACTGACCAGTGAACGATATTGATTACTAACCACCGTAGGATAACAATCCCCACATTCTTCTGATATCTGCTGTATTGCTTTGTTTGCAGCGTCCAGTTCTGCCCTTTGTAGACTAGTCCCTAATCCTGATGATACCAGTTCACCACCAATGAACAGATCAACTTCAAATCTGTAAATATTTGTTATCAACACATGAACGTCTTCAAACAATTTCCAAAAAAATCCTTGAGGTCATTTATAGAGACTGTATTATTATTCAATTTTATACGGTCGCCTTCACACTTTGTAATTGATTGATCGTAGCATTCTCGCAGTCTCTTAACTTACTTAAATAACAAACCAAGTAATAATGTTTGATGCACCATAGATACCATGTTGGATATACTACTTACTATCATAACATGGTACATCAGACATTATTACTGGATTTGTTATATTCATGAATTATACCCTGATTTACTGATAATGACTTTGGAATTGTAATTCGTTTTATGTATACAAAGCAGGAGTTGCTAATATATCACTACCAGTAGGTACTGTCAACGCACTCGGTCTCAACCTGATGGCAGACTTAAGTATCATGTACATACTAGGTTAGGGGTGGAAATATTACATTTTCCCGAATGTTCATTCACTGTCAGCATAAAGGTATTATAATCAATCCTACCTTTGGATTGTGCAGTTAACTGCTCTTATGTAGCTTTGTTTTTAATTCAGTTGGAGAGCGTCTGGATTGGGTTTTAAAATATAAAGAATGTTTCACTCATATAATATTACTAATATTCAGTTTTAAGAAGAAGATATAAAAAAAGAAGTGGTATTAGAAATGCCTTATACCTTAAAGCATGGTCAGGACCATATTTATCCGCCTGTTCATAAGCGATAGACTTCCTTCTCGACTGCACCCAATCATTAAGTATACACTTTGCATCTTTTGGAATGGTATGACTGTTTTCATCGTTGTTATTCTGAATAGAATTTAATAATTAAGTTATAAACAAAAATTTTTAAAGCTTACAATTATGTCGAAATGTCAAATTACTTTGCTTACTTTATTTCTCGGTTTCCCCGTGTTTTAACATGTGCAATCATAAAGAGAAAAAAGACAATTTTTCAGTCATGTCTTGGACATAAAAGCTTTAGTTTTTAGTGTTGTATTTTGTACTACATTCTTTTTCAATGCATGTATTGCTGTTGTCAGTTACCGGCAAGTTTGGTCTGTCATGTGTACGTTTTATCCGTATTTTCCTGTCAAACTTTCACCTTTTGTATGTTTACCAATCCGCTATTACATTCCTATGATGCCTATTTTCCTGATATTTCTCAGAACATATTTTAACAGGATTAAAACTATGTGTGTCATTAGTGAAGCAAAAGTTGGAAACTCTTCCATTTCATCGTCATATTTTTGTTGGCGTCTTGAGATTTCTGTGTGGTGTTTTGTCGGCTTCTGTGCGTCTTTATATTCGTCGTTCTTTTCATGGCGTTTTGTGTCTTTCTTCGACTCATGCATTTTGGTCGAATCATCTTGATTTTTGGTATCTTCTCCTATGTTATTAACAAATTATAGTAGAATCTGTTATTTGTTCAGGGGAGGTAACTTTTGCACTAATGTCTTCCGCTTAAACTCGATATAATAAGGCATCGACAAGTTTTCATACTATCTTCCAAAATAAGACGATGCAAGAACGAGATCAATATTTTATCTTTTATTTCCTGAAAAATGTTGATCTCGCAACTCACCACCAAAAAATATCATTTTTTTTTTGTTAATTTACTTTTTTTTGTTTGTTTTATGAATAAAAAGAGATGGGATTTGAAGTGTGAAGTATAAATTTGTACGTCAAGTACACAGCAACACAACAACACAAAATACACCCTTAAAGGAAAAAGGGTCAACGTACAGTCGTTAACAACAAACGATTCTCTATATAATATGTAAAGCGCTCGTTGTGAATAAATTAAACAAGGACCATGATTGACTGAAACCACCCAATATAATTTATTCAATTATTTATATACAAGGGAAATTGCCATTGAAGGACGGCATTATTTATTTACCGCCTGGTAATGGACTTAGATTCCAATAACGTCATTCTTGAAATGTATCTGAGTTTTGTTGTAAATGATATCAGTTGTATACACGTAACTGCTACTACAAGCGAAGGAAGTTGTAACCCAGTGGTTGTCGTTGGTCCTGTCACGTTGGTTACATTTGTTTTTCTTTCATTATTATAATATAAATCAGGCCATTTTTTTATTTCACTTTTTGTGACACCGGGGCTTTTAATAGCTTACTATGCGGTATGGGTTTTGCTCATTGTTGAAGGTCATTCATACGGTGACCTATAATTGTTTACATCTTTTTCCTTTTGGTTGTCTATTGATGTGTTTCATTGATAGTCATATCACATTTCCTGATCATTATATTCTACGAGCGTTTGGAATTCCACTAATTAAGATGGAAAAACTGGGATTGCTAAAAATAACCATTATAACCATTAAAAATAACCTGTCCTAAGTCAGGAATCTAATGTTCAGTAGTTGTCGTTTGTTGATGTGGTTTATAAGTGTTTCTCGTTTCTCGTTTTTTATATAGATTAGACCGTTGGTTTTCCCGTTTGAATGGTTTTACACTAGTAATTTTTGGGGCCCTTTATAGCTTACTGTTCGGTGTGAGCCAAGGCTCCGTGTTGAAGACCGTACTGTGACCTATAATGGTTTACTTTTATAAATTTTGACTTGGATGGAGAGTTGTCTCATTGGCACTCATACCACATCTTCTTATATCTATTAAGCCATTTTTATTGATATTTTATAGTGTGTCTTTTTATGTTATAATGTTACACTACTATTTCAGGTTAGGGAAAAGGTTGGCGCCTGTTAAAACGTTTAAACCCGGTGCATTTGTATGCACCTGTCCTGAGTCAGGAGCCTGTTGTTCAGTGGATGTCGTTTATTGATGTGGTTAATAAGTGTTTCTCGTTTCTCGTTTTTTATATAGATTAGACCGTTGGTTTTCCTGTTTGAATTATTTCACACTAGTCATTTTGGGGCCCTTTATAGCTTGCTGTTCGGTGTGAGCCAAGGCTTCGTGTTGAAGGCCGTACTTTTACCTGTAATTGTTTACTTTTTACACATTGTGACTTGGATGGAGAGTTGTCTCATTGGCACTCATACCACATCTTCTCATTTATACTTAAAACCAACCACATGGTCACGTATCTTTGATGTGTTTGTCCTTTTGAATTTGATATTGACGACATAATTTTGATAGTCTGTCCATTTTATTCATAATGTTGGTACCAGTTTTTAAACATTTGTCTATAATTGTTGATGACCACCTATGTGTTTTGTTTTAGTCGTTGGGTTGTTGTCTCATTGACATTTACCTTCGATCCCCTTCAATTTATATGGTGAAGAACGTTAAATTTAATGTATATATATATATATTTATTTAAGTACGTCTAAACAAGTGACAACTCTAAGACAGATCCATCCATTGGATCACCAGTGAAGGTCATACACGGCTGAAAACACATATTATATTCATAATTACTCTAAATATCAACACAACAATGTTAAATCTGCAAATTTCTTTATATATATATAAAGAACAGACTCGCAAAAGTCTGCATTTAGTAAATTCAGCAGATTCATATCTTGTCATAAAGCTTGTATATAACACACCTGATCGGATAAATCAGAAAAACTAAGAATTCCTTCATCAAATTGTTTCAATGTCTGTCGTGCAGCGGATCGATCAGCATTCTGTTTACTACTACCCGTTCCTTTTGCATACAGTGTATCGTTTATAAAGAGCTGTACTATAAATCTGCAGATACAATGTATAGAAACAATTAAAATTTAATTAATATAAGCGACAAAAAGAATTATGAACAGAAGCAGAGTCAACAATTAAACGGTTTTCTGTAACTTAAATTATCTTCAAGTATGCTCGTGGATCAAAGTTTTGTCTTGCAATTTGATTAAAAACATCAAACATATTATACACTAGCTGCGGACAATAGACACACTTGTTGGAAATCAAACATCGGACAGGCCTATATAAAATAGTTACCATTTTCTGTTCGTACACCAGCATGCCATATAACGTTTAAAACTGGAACGGAAATGGTACGATACACTTCAAGGTGATCGTAAAGTATAAATAATGTAAAATACAAAATACTCAGGTTCAAATGGAAATGGTGAATAGAACTATTTTATCAAAAGCAATTATACAAACGTTGGTGCATGATCTGGACCTGTCCTTGCTATTGTCTCGTATTTTATATTCCTGATATGGTGCTCCTGTAATTTCTCATTTAGTTGCGATTTCGGATCAGTCCCAATCTAAATAGACAAGTAGTAAGAGAATTGTTAAATTTTGATTGTAGAATGCATCTGCTTCGTTAGTTCTAAATTTTGTTGTTAAGATCGTAGTTTTTATCATTAATCAAAACTAGTCACCACAAATTTTAGAACTGGTAGAGGAATATGCAACCATTAAATTAATATAATATTGGCATACTTGGTTTTTTTTCAACACCCCTAACCAATTAAACTAGAGGCTCCTAAGAGTATGTGTCGCTCAACTGGGTCTGTGTGCGTCTACAAAAACACAATTCATGACTTAAATCTATTTTTGATCTTATATTGCTGATCAGTTTAAATGATTACAATTTTTCTCTGGCTCTGTTGACCCATTTGTAGATCTTGTCTTGTAGATCATATTTTGTTTTGTATAGTTTCTCTCTACAGAAACTTTAATAGATTTTACATAATGATTATGGCCAATAACTAGTCTGACAATTTTTGTCGAATTGGACATTGACATTCTAAACATTTGTGCAACTGTCAGATTTTCTCTCGCGGTTTAGAAAATGGATAAGACATGCATTTTACCCCTATTTTCTATTTTTGGCCATTTTGGTTTCGAGCGCAATCATCTGAGATTTTTTTAATTAGATACCTGAATGATGATTTTGGTCAAATTTGGTTCCATGTAGTTTCAGAGAAGAAGATTTTGGTAAAAGTTAACGGACGACGAGGGAAGACATACGACGGATGCCAAGTAATGGCAAAAGCCCACACTCGACCTCTGGACCACGTGATGTAATAAAAATAGATAATAATCTGATTTGTCTGACGAAGACTTTGAGTTATGAAAATAATAAAATTTTTTATGCAGAAAGAAAACAACAGTGGGCTGCCACAACAGTTTTTTTTTATATTAACAGATGGATGGATCATGGATGTCCTAACTTTTTAGTGATAAAACGGTTACTAATGTTTTGAAATTCTTAAGCTTTTCAAAAATAAATATATGTAAACGGAAAGGGTATAATGAATCATACATAATACATTCTAGAAAACACCAAAGGCTATCATATTATTCATGTACTTTTTTCAAACTTAGACAATTGACAATTAAATTCCATTTCTTTGACATACATGTATGATCACTTTTACTATGAACAAAATGATATAATGGTTATACTTCAAAGGGACAGCAACGATTTAGGCATATTGCAATTTTTGTCTAATATGCATGTACTTAGAACACAACCGTATTAAAAAAAACTATGAATACAATGAAGCATATTTTTAAATAATTACTCCGCTTCTGATACAAGCCTCAGCATCTGTGTTAATCCTCAGTTGTCGAACCGCAGAAATTGCTGCACTCTGTTGTGCTTCCTTCTTTCTAGACCCAGTACCAGTTCCAAACAGTACACCATCAACATATACATTTACCCGGAAACTGAAAATAAGATTCGGTGTGATTGAAGCAACAATTATATATTCAGAAAATCATTCTGAAGAACAAAAGGAAACGATACAACATCAAGGGTAGCAATCAGAAGTCACAATTTAAAGAAGGTCTGACGAAAAAGAAACTTGTAAAAATATCAATACATGTAACCTTATTTAGATACAACGTAACATAATTAAAAAGAGAAAGTCACTATAAGGGTGGTCCCATGTACTCCATAAAAAAAGAAATAATTAGTATTTCGAAATGTTAGGAAAGTAAATTAAAACAATGAAATATTGCAATATACAAATTTTACTCACGACTTTTCATGATCAGGTCCACTTTCCTGTGCATCAGTATACTTTATGACTTTCCCTTTTTGTTGTTTCCATTCATTAAGAATACATTTGGCATTCATGTCGTCGTCCCTTGATGTAATATTCTGTCAATCAAATGCATATTCGTTATACAGTAAAATTTACATTTTCAATACAGCACAATTTACATCTTACTTCACAGATAATGTTCATTTACACAAAGCGTGATTTTCTGTGTGACCTGAGGAGTAATACAAACCATTAAAACATATATACATGTATTGGTTGTCCTTGTTTATTTTGCTATTTGACTTTGGTTCTCATTTCCTTCGTCGTTCAGTATTGATATAAAACTAAATTTGTAAATTAAAGTTATTTCTAAAGTGATCTTACACAAGTCTGTTACATAACAGTTTTTTTAATGATCGTGGGAAATTATTGCATTTGATTATGTCTTCATCGTTCAGTTGCTAATTAATATGAATTAAACATTCTGGTAAAACAATTAATTTTAAAAAATAGCTTATTAAAGACTTTGAGTATCATTCACACTTATCGATTGTTTATTTCTAAACCGGAAATATACTGTCTGATCAGATTACGATTATTTCGTTTAAGAGTTGTAAAATCATAAATATTAATAGATCCTTATCTCTACAGAAAACAATTAAGTACGTTTTCACTTAGCTCCTAATCTGTTAATGTCAGCAGCACAAAAAAATACTTATAGAGTGTAAAATCATCCTTCTTCTTAAAGTACGAACTGTGAGTTGAAATATCTGTGGTGATTTCAGATTTTCCAAAAAAATATGTCTGCACGACAGAATCATACAGAATCTTTACAATGAAATCATTACTCTAAGAAATACATGTAACTAGTAGAATTTACTATGTTAATAATTACACTTACTGGCCATGTGATAACTAGCCATTCCAGTAAAACTTACTACATGAAGGTAGAAAGTAAACTATTTAAAAGGACCAGTAATTTTAACTATAAACACAAGTAATTTCAACTGGAAAGACTAGATAAATAAATGTACTAGTTATAATTTCTAGAATTACTAGGTAAGCCAGAACATCTATAAGGTATTTCTTTCAGTGATTGTACTTATAAACTGACAATATGTTTATTTTCCTGTTTAGCTAGGGCTTCTGGTCTTTTCATCCGAATCCGCTTTAAGTGTATTTTGTCTTCCAAATCTTAAATTACCGATGCCCTTTCAATGATAACCGCTCGTAAACAGTCCTCGTGATCGCTTTTTAAAATTTAGGTTGAGCATAAATATAAACAAATTACTTACTTGCCTGGTAATATTTTTTCGTTAAAAGTGGACAAACGATTTTTTCCCGTAAAATGAATTATTTTTTCCTTGTTTATCATATTCTATCCTTACAATAGTAACGTACAAAATCTCACTAAAAGGAAGTAAAACTATTTTTACACACATTGTAAAATATTTATTTGAAATTTTGATCATTGTCGTGGAAGTATTAAAATTATTCCGGTATTAAGAAATGTCATGTTTGTTTTATTACTGCCTTCTAACATCTGAAGTGACATCACAGATATTTTAATGAAATATTGCTATATATCTAATGATAAATAAAAAAAGAGGAAGAGGGAAATATATATTTTTGTCACCTGGTAGATGGAAGAGATTAAATACTATACATCACCTACATTGTTAATGCAAAATTGATGACTCGCATTAGGTCGTACTCTTTTGTTTTCCAGAAACTCAGATGTTGCCAATATAATTGATTTTCTCTTCAGCCTAGAACTTTTATCAAAAGGATTTTCTGAAAAATGGATTTATGTATTCACAACCTGGAAACATATCATAAGTATTTACAAAGGCGAGTCCAAACTTTCACGTTTCATACAGTAGCTAATACTGGTATAATTTGTTTCTGAAAGAGACAATTTATGGTTTAGTTTTTGGATTGTGATTCAAAAGGATCGCCAGGTAAAAACCATGAATTAACCTTCTTAATATTTGTCGAATAAAAACACATCCTACTGAAACTTATAACAATCTAACGAAAGTTTCAACTTCAGTCAATTTCTCCTTAAACAGTATTAAAACGGCTTCGTTTAACGCCAGAAAAGACTTGTACAGGGCGTCGATTTCTGTTTGCGCTAATCGGTATAACATTTGCGCCAAGTTTCATATAATTTATAACTGAATAATTTCCTCGGTTTGTCTGGGGTGCAAGAATACCTTTTCCCCATGCAAAGGTTTTTTAATCAATGAGTTCTTCCAGTATCTCAAACCATGAAGATGTAAAGTCCATATAAACTCATTGAACAACGCTTACCTTCTGTCTTCAGAGTAAATCATACGACGGTTTTTTTTTTTGGCTCAAATGAAAATTCTGATTTTTTTTTAGATTGGTGCAAATGGAATACGACCCTACAAGGCGTCCTTGAAAATAGACATGTTTTTGAATAAATAACCAATGCAAAGTCGAAAGTTTAAAGGGTCAAGGATGTTCAACATGAAGCAGACAGATCAAATCAAATGAAAGGATCATTAATAGTTCACAGGTCAAGGATATATCCAAATATACACTGCCACTTTTCATTAAACTTGAATACATGATTATCACACATTTGAAATAAAAAGAAGTTTGTAGGATACACGCCATTTAGACAGTAACCCAACAATACAAAAACCATAAAAGAACTGAGAGTTCCAATGTTTTCTTTTCAAGAGGCAATCAATAAATAAAAATACTTTTTTTGGTTCTTAAAAACTTTTTATGAATATAGAAATGTACTTGGTTTAAGAGCGCTTACAATGCAATTTTCTAAGAATTATATTAAAGAGGGGCATAAGTCTTTTAAAAATAGTTGATCGGCACTGATTTTTGATCTTGTTCGAGGCATTGTTGATGTAAAACCTTTGATATAAATTTCATTACTATCTGGTAAGAAATGTACACTTGAGAGCGCTTACAATGCAATTTTCCATATAATTTATATTTCATTCCAAGGGGCATAACGTTTTTTTAAAAACTGATCGGCGTTAATTTCCGAACTTGTCTGAGACATTGCTGATATAACCGCCTTGGTATAAAGATGATAAAAATCTGGAAAGAATAGTTCACGTGGGAGCGTTTACAATGTAATTTTCCAAATAATTGATATTTCCAAGGAAGGAGCACAGATCTATTTTAGAAAGTTGATCGCCACTAACTTGTAATCTTTGATATAAATTTGATAAATAAAACTTGCAAGAATTGTACACACGAGGGCGCTTATAAGACCGGACGGACAGACGCACGGGCAGATGTTGAGACAGAAAGCCGCATTCAGGACCATTCATTACATAAGGTTTCAACCATTTATGAATTTTTGACTTACTGCTATCATAAACTTCCAGCAAGAAATATTTGGCTTGGCAAAACACATACATAGCAATAATGAAGAATTATTTGAAGAAAATAACACGGCTAAGTGATTTGCTGAGTTCATGTTATATAAATCAATAAAACAGCTTTGTGTATTTTAAAAGAGTGCTATAGTCATTAGGGAAAATGTCATTTAAAATGTGTTAAGTTCAAGTAAAAGAGAAAGAAGAGACAATTAATTTTTATAGTCTTAATATAAAAATAAGAAAACGTGGTATAATTGCCAATGAGACACCTCTCCACAAGAGACCAAATGACACAGAAATTAACAACTATAGTCACCGTACGGCCTTCAACAATGTATAAACTCATACCGCATAGTCAGCTATAAAAGGCCCCGAAATGACAAATGTAAAACAATTCAAACGAGAAAACTAACGGTCTGATTTATGTACAAAACAATGAACGAAAAACAAATATGATATACAGCAACAAACGACAACCACTAAATTACAGGCTCCTGATTTTTAATGCAGGTCTGGATGGGGTCCAAAGAATAGAATAATGGGACAAAAAATAATAAAGGGCAGGAAAAAAAAAGAATATAGAAAAATAGTATAAAAAAAAAGAATAGAAAAAATTGGATGCTAAATTATAAAGAATAGAAATAAATGGCCAAAACAAAAAGAGAATAAAGAAAAATGGCTTTAAAATTGAAATAATACAGACCCCTCCTTAATCTATATCAAGGCATTCGTCAATTTCCCGAAAACAACAATATTCACAACAATAAGTAAAGAATTATGTTGCCGTCTTAAGTTTTTGCGTGTTTTGTACCAAAAACACATTGTTACATTAGATGAAACTTACCTAGCTTTGAGTTAGGAGTATCAACTTTGTGTTGTCGGCTCAGACGTGACTCTTGGTATAAAGGTAACTGTAAAAAAATATCAAATATATTGAATTATTCAGCGAATATGAGGTAAGTTTTTTTTTACATATATTTAAACCTTATCACAAATACCTTTATATTATGGACACAGGGATTTTCATTGGTTGATTGTGAAAAGTCACGACCTAAATCCGTTTAATAAGTTCTAAATTAAAAAAAAATAGTTTGCCAACATTTCCAGAAATCCTGACGAAAGTCGACAACACTAGATTTCTTGAAAACGGAAGTTTAGATCTTCCATTATATTATTTCTAGAATAATCAATGTTGATTACTGAAGGAGTGAACGAATTTTTTTTCTGAAAGGTTGTTTTTATTTATTGTTAGAACCGTTTTATCCTGAGATATTAAACAATCTTTATTAGTTATGTGTAAATAATAAATGATAATAGTAATAAAACAAAACAGAAACAGAAACAAAACAGAACGAAATAAAATAAAGGACAAATATTAATAATGAAATAATTGAATACTTTTAAATCAACAGTAATTAAACTGTTAAATAGATATAAGAAGATGTGGTATGAGTGCCAATGAGACAACTCTCATTCCAAATCAAACTTTATAAAAGTAAATCATTATAGGTCAAATTACCTGCTTATTTGTTTTTCATTATTGAGTTCATAAGGTCATTCAGTGAATGTTTGGACAAAGTGATATAAAGATTAACACTATCAGTGTTGTCAACAGTGTGATATATAACTCGGGAAATAATTACATAGCAGTAGAGCATTATCTTTCTCTCAAAAGTACGACCGTAGCAGCCGAGATTCGAAACACACCAAAGTCTATTTTTTTTTATTGGCTGTAAATTAAAGAGGAAAACGCCGATTATGCGAAACTATGCCAGAAAAGTCCAATAATGCTTGTTGTAGAGTTGTTAACAAGTCAAACATACAAATTCAAGCGCATGAATTTGAATAGTTTGTTCCAACAGTTTTATACTTACCGAAAAAGTCATTTTCAACGTTCACACTGGTTTAAATGGATCTTTATAAAATATGTGTTCTACAATATAAGCTGAAATAAACAATTGTGAGATAATATACTACTTAAACTATACGACTATAAAATGGTAATAACATTTATAAAACATATCATCGTATGCATGGCTAGAAAAATTATCAAAAAAAGTTTACAAGTATATAGTTTTAAGTCATATGTAATTTATTGCGCTGTGCAAATCGTTTTGGTGGCAAAGAACGGCTTTTCAGGATGCAGTTCATCTATTTCATTTTATAGTAAACATCTGATATAGATCGTAAATTTAATGATTTGATGCCTCAGATTTATGATTACTCTTATTTTTCCTATTAATGAAAACAATTATATTATATATATGTTAAAATAGAGAATAGTTACGGGACTTGGGACAGGCGAAAAAATGCGGCGCGGTGAAACATGTTTTGTGAGATCTAAAAACCCGCTATACTATACCTCTAGCCGATGTGTAATAAACAAAAACACAGCAATACGCACAGTAAAACTCATTTTAAAAGAAGTCCCAGTCCGATGTTAGAATAGCGAAAATTGAGAATGGATGCCAATGAGACAACTCTCCATCCAAGTCAAAATTTATAAAAGTAAACCATTATAGGTCACAGTACGGTCTTCAACACGGAGCCTTGGCTCACACCGAACATTATAACATTGAAAATGGAAACGGGGATACGTCAAAGACACAACAACCTGACCAAAGAGCAGAAAACAGCCCAAGGCCACCAATGGGTCTTCAACACAGCGAGAAAATCCCGCACCCGGTAAACATGTTATTGGGAACCATAGATAAGATAAGTTATTTTATTAAATGCTAGACAACATGCCTCCCCTCAAATTAGTATAACAGTTATTGTATTTAGAAGAAATGCTGCTTACATTTTGTACTTCTATTGTGTTCATTCATATATTAGGTTATATTAAAAAATACATGTAAAATCAACAGCTTAAACACAATTGCTAACATTGTGTTTAAAACGATTACTCTTTAACACTTATATGGTGAACAATAATGTTAACACCAGTCTATTCAATTTAACGCTTACACATTATTAAACTGCAAATTAACCCTATATTTTAAGGTGTTTTTCAATTTTTAGTCTTGAAAATCGCCCATGTTATCTGAGGGTTATTTTTCTTCAGTATGATCAGTTTAATTATCATATCGAAAACCGCAGTAAGGATTACAAAAAGGAAAACATATATATTGTGTTCAAAACCCAAAACAAAACATGAGAGAATGTAAATTAAATGTTCAATACTCAAATACTAAATACTTGTAAGCTTTATATTTCAACTGGTAGCTGAAAATTTTCGACAGGTTTTGCTTACAAATTAAAAACTCTATAGAACCACTTTTTACAAAAGACCATGGTCAAAGTCTCTGACTATGTCATTTTATAGATTAAAAACAAGAAACAATATTACATGTCCCAGTGCAGTTACTTAAGATTAATATTCTTGTCAGGCCAGATTGCTTAAAAGAAAAATCATGATATTAATTATGGCAATGGACATTTGAGCGAAATGGCAGGACCTTTGAGCGATAAAAAAGGACATTGAGCGCCAAAGTATAAGACATTTGAGCGAAAAAAAAGATAAGCATCAGACATTTAAGAGAAAAATTTTTAAGAATGATGAAGGAGCACCTCTTACGGTTCGCCAGATATAATCTGTTAACCCTGCTCAACACGGGGATCTGGAAGTAGGATTTCTAGCAAGATATAGTTAATAAAAAGTGGAGTTTATAACGCACAAAGTTTAAAACATCTTTTAATTGTAAAAAAAAATCAAAGCCCTGTCATAAAACTTTAAACTCGGCTAAGGCATTATTTACAAACGTCAGTTCGGGCTTGAAATTTTTGTCTAGGCTTCTGACATAAAAATCAGATTGTTCATCATTAACCTGTACAAAATTTTCATTTTATTTTGTCTCAATATTCATCTTCGTTAACGATTCGTGCGTTTCCTCTCTAGATTTTGGAAGCGCAGGGTGATATGTAAATTATTTACGTCACTTTATATATATAAAATTATTTATTTTAAAAGCTTACTCTCTTTTCTTACTTTTTAAAAATATTTTTTCTTTATTCGTATAAAAGTATCACAAGAAATTTCGCTCAAACGTTCTATTTGAAAATCCAGGTAAGGTTAATATTCCGGCGCTTAAATGTCCTATGATGTCGGCGCTCAAATGACCCTATGTGCATTTTTCTCTCTCGCTCAAAAATCCTATGCCCATGAATTATGATTATTGTTTAAAGTAAAGTTATATCAAAACACTGTTTTGTTATCAAAACTTGTTCTAGTGTTATAAAAACAAATATATTTTTTTGCAATTTGGGATTTAATCTCTTTATCATAAATATAGAAGATAATTGATTATTCATAATATGATATATTATTTCCAATCGATAAAACACAGTACAAAATTTATATATAAATATATATCAGTTCATAGCATATCTACTGAATGATACTGTAACAATGTTAGTATTGTCTAAACTGCCTTCTGTGTCGCCGTTTGGTTGCTGACTCATTGAGATACATGTGTGCACTGAGTGTGTGCACCACACCTCTTTTTATTTATATATTTCATAACAGAATCAAAGCCCTCCAACGTATAATAGCAAAAAACAACGTACTTTAAACAGAAGAAATATGAAAATAAAAATATGACAAATTTACCCCCAAAATTCAGTACAAGGGAATTAGTGAAATATCCACCAATGACCTTTAGGAAATAACCCTAAAGCCTGAAATTGCATAGAAAATAGCCTAATACCTAACTTCAGTTATTGCCGCCAACAAAAATAAGTGAAAGGAAAGGAACAAATTCGTCGTCTAGGACCTGTAATAGTAGACTGTAAGCGTGGAAATGAAAAAAAGATACTTACTATACAGTGTGTTCACTACGTAGTTCACCACATACAAGCTTGTAAACAAATCTTTAATTATATAACTTTCATTTTTATGAAAACGAAAGTAATATTACTAAAATGAACTTTGATCAAGCACTTGTCTATGTTACATAATACCTGTAAAATACCTTTACATAACACATGTTTTACCGATAAATATGAGTGCCTATAACTTTGATAGCCAAAATTACATACGTTTGAAGATTCGTCATATTGTTTCTACTATACTACAGTTGTTCTTTATCAATTTGTGTTCAATGTTTGGTCTTTATTTCAATAACATTACTTACTTTCTTACTGACTCATAGATGATCAATTCTCTCCTTTAAGTTATAACATATTAACTTTAATCTAATAGAAGTCCAAAAAGGATAGCATATAACACGAAAAAAATATCTATCATTATGTATAGAAATTAATTATTATATTCATATTTTCTTTAGATTTGAAAAGGAATATTCTATTTGATAACTTCTTATATCGAAGTAGCTGGATCTCTGCATGTATCTAGTAGCATAGGGAATTTACGTCGAATACATAATAAACCACAGGTACAAGACGAGATTTTTTTAATATATGTATATTCAAAACTGCTGATTAAAATATTTGTATCCACCATTACACATATTCAAAACGTAAACAAAGTCAAAGGATTTAGGAAATTAATGCATAGAAATTAGGGTCACATCAAAGAAAGTTACAAGAATGAAAGTAAAAGTAGAAAATTTAAAATGATAATCAAATGCAAACTTAGAACATCAATCAAAATATTGTATCTTTGACAGATACTTCTATCCCAGAGTTTCATGGCTTGTTATATTAACACTTCCCTGGTGCACTTGAACCAAAGTCCCTGTCAACATGATAATATTATTGTTTTACATTATAGATTGAATATATATATATTAGTGTTCTACACATGTTCGTAATTACGTTGTTAATGTGTTATATGTCCGCCTAATTTGGTGAGTACAATTTTTGTTCTTTCTTATTCTTATTTTTATTAATTCAATGTTCTGTCATTTCCTGAATTATATCCAGTATTTTCAAATTAAGGGAATCAATTCACATCATCGCACTATACACTAAGAAACAATTCACCTCATCGCACTATACTCTATGAAAAATTCACCTCATCGCACTATACTCTATGAAAAAAATCACCTCATCGCACTTCACTCTATGAAAAAATTCACCTCATCGCACTATGCTATGGCTGTCTGTCTTTACATCGAGGTTCATACATTTCACTTGGAGATTGGTGGTCAAACTGATTAATATTTTTAAACTGAATGCAGATTCCTTAGTTTAATTGTAATCCATTCTAAGCCTGAGAAATGAATTGGCGAGGCCTACTAATTTGTGCAAATCATACTGACCCTCGGTGTTTACCATTTGATAAACTCCTCCAAACAGGTCTGATAATAGGTTTATATTATTGATTGAACATGATAAAGACATATTATTTATGAAAATTATCGATTTTAAAATATGCAGAGTGCGACATTTAATGAGTAATAGATTTTTGCTTTTTGACAATAGAGTATTATTATTATAATAGATCTAATTGTCTATTTTCTTTGTCATTATTCCCTTTAAGTAACAAGTAATAACCTACTTGCGACCATTTATATTCTAGTTTCACTTTTAGTTTTCTGAAAATCTAACCTACTTCCGGATGTAAACTGTACAGGCCTACTTGTATGCTAAAAGTGTCTAGACAACAACTACAACAAACTTGGTGATCGAATTATGCAAAATTAATGGACAAGATGAACGAGTTGCTTTATTAATCCTTGTACAAAAATAAAACGGTAAGTATTATCTGTTACATATGTAAACATGTCTACAAATCAAGCCGTTCTATGCACAGGTACTCGTCTCTGAATTTTTTTTACCTATATACTTTAATACAGGTAAATCTTTTATCAGAGACAAGTGCCTGTGGTTTTATGGTAATTAAAAAAATCCTAGTCCCATTATTTACATTAAACGTGAGTACATGTAGCTGTTGGTCCATGTGAAATAATTTTTCTACTGTGTGTAACATCGATCTATGGTCACAAGCAATTAAAAATGGGTAAGCCAAAGGACCAAAGAGCTACGGTTTAGCAGCTATATATTCATATAACTTAGCATAGAAGAGTGGTGGCCATGAGAAACTGCTTCAACTACATGGCTGGTAGAATGAAGAAGGACACCACAATACTCGAAACATAGATTGGTCGAATGGTACATGTAAGCGCGTTCTAGATTTTGCTCGTTCATCGGCTACCAAAATGTTGATAAAAGCTTAGACGTCATAATGTCGGTGTTGTATATATACCAAGATCATCGAAGCTTCGACCAACTGGATTTTTGGCCCGATTTTCCAAGACGAGAAAAGACACAAGGTCGGACTAAGGGTTTGAGGCAAACGAAAGAGGGGGGGGGGATGTAATCGTCAGTAATGGCCAAAACAGCTGACAGTAATGCGGCGATTTGTTTTTGGCAATACTTTTATTATACCTCAGATACACATGTGTACACGAGGACGCCCACCATTAATACATATATATACATTAATCAGATGACAGACAGGTAAACAAACAAAACGATAAAAACTTAAATAATCGAGTAGACCCGTTACACAGTTACGAGACTCACGAAAAAATGCACGGACAACGGGTATTGAAAATGGAACATTTATCAACTTGAAAGTAGGTATATAGTTGTATCATTATGTCTGACTCAGATAATCACAAATCACGAATTAATTATTACAAAAAAGCAGATTTTTATATAATGCACTAGATAGGAGTTCCTTCATTTTATATTCCCCATGATTATTTGTGTAAAATATGTATATGTATCTAGCTCGAAGATTTTTTATTTCTCTTTTGCTTTGAATAAATAAATAATAAAATTCGTCGCCCAAACATTTTGTACACAGATGGCATATTCTGTCTTGTCTCTGTATTCCAAACCATCTTAGTTTTGAAATATAAATCTGTCATTTGTGCTCAATTCTAACCGATAAAGACTCAAATTGTAATTCTTCGTAAAATATAGACAAGAATTCACTCCTGTAAGATTAATTCATTTGAAAAAACCAAGATAATTGAGCACAAGAGGACTAGGGGTCTACAAAAGTTTGATGTAAAGCAACAATTAAATTTTAACATTTTTTATTGACGCCATAACTTTAATATTGACTGATATATGTATATGATATTTCTCAGTGGTGAATCAATTTTAATCTGATAGAATAAAAGCAGACAGCCCCACTGTTTAACAAACCATGACAAAAGTTAAAAAGACTGGCATTGATCTGAAGTGCGGTGACATACTTAATTAATCTTGAACGTGATGTCGGAAACATTATCTAGAAATTCACTAAAGAAATCCATGGTTAAATTGACAATTTTTACCTGAATCGTTTTTGATAACGTACGGAGCCCTGTTGGTCTCATGCAAATAAAGAATTGTGGTTTTTAAAGTCAAGCGCTGGAGGTGTAGCGCTATAGATTTAATATCAAGCGCTGCAGATATAATTTCAAGCGCTGAAGATGGAAAGTGGTCTTAAAAAAAAACCCAAGAAGGCTCCGTAATAACGACATGCAGAATTGTGTTCATTTAATATGAATGAGTTTTAGATTGTGCATGATTCGGGAAAACTATAACCTCCACGACTACAGAATAATTTCAATACTTGTTATCTTAACTGACAATGCACAGTAAGGATAGTAATAGATAGATACAAAATAAACAAATTAACAAAGCATATTCAATATCCCTTGTCGAAACTGGTACGAAATAAACAAAATTAACAAAGCATATTCAATATACTTTAGAAGAGCTTTCAATACTGTTAATCATACAGGACTGTTTTATAAACTTAGTAAAATTGGAGCAGGAACCCATTTTTATAATATAATCAAAAGTATGTATTCTAATAACATACTATGTATAAAAACACGAAACATGTTAACAGCTGATTTTAGATCATGAAGGAGATAATCTGAGCCCGAGTCTCTTTAAAATATTTATTAATGATTTTAAATCTTTATTAGATGAAACCTGTGACCCAGTATTGCTATCAAATATTTCATTAAATTGTCTTCTTTATGCTGATGATCTTGTACTGCTTTCTGAATCTAAAAAAGGCTTACAGACTGCATTAAATAAGCTGGAAATCTATTGTGAAAATTGGGGTTTAGAAGTTAATTTAAAAAAAAAAACGAAATCTATAGTTTTTAATACATCTGGCCGTATTAAAGATGCACAGCTTTCATATAAAGACACATACATCCAAAATACCCAACATTATACTTATCTTGGCGTAACTTTTAGTGCATCTGGCAGCTTTTCAGAAGCCAAAAATATGTTATATAAAAAAGGTTTAAAGGCCTTCTTTAAATATACTAAATATTTTACTAATTATAAACCTAATATCTCCACTCTAATGCACATTTCTGATCACACAGTGAAACCCCTATTATTATATGGTTCAGAAATATGGGGTTGTTTTAATTCAAAGAAGTTAATGAATGACACAGAACTAAATTATTTCTATAGACTTTGTAAAGATTTAAAAATCGAGAAAGTGCATCTAAAATTCTGCAGATTTACATTAGGAGTGAATAAGCATGCAACAAATTTGGCCATATTCGGTGAATTAGGTCGTTATCCTCTAATGTTAGATATTTTAACAAACATGATCAAATATTGGAAAAGAATTCATATTACAAATAATATTTTATTAACAAATGCATACTCTCTCTCAAATACATTATCGAAAGCTGGGAAGAATTCTTGGACTAGTTGTATTCATGCTATCCTGAAATTGCTTGATTTACAAGAGTATCAAGTACTCTCATCTAAAACAAACATTAAGAATATGGTGAAAAAGAAATTATATTTAAAATATTGTAACTTATGGAAGAAAGAATTATTCAATGATAAAAGACAAAATAAGACCTCTGGAAATAAACTTCGAACTTATCGATTATTCAAACCAAACTTTAATTTTGAGCCATACTTATTGAAATTACCATATCTTCAAAGATGTGTTTAACAAGATTTAGAATAGGAGCTCACAAACTTGAGATAGAAAAAGGTCGTTACTTTAATATAAAATTAGAAAATAGAATATGCAAACTCTGTAATGAGGAAGTAGAAGATGAAATGCATTTTCTTTTAACATGTAAAGCTTTGGTTAATGTTAGAAATCCCTATCTTAGCAAAATATTTAGTAAAAATAAGAATATTTCAAAACTTGATAACAAATCTCTGTTGGTTAATGGGAAATGAAGATAAAAATATTTTGATAATAATTTGTCAATTATTAGAGGTTTTAAATAAAAATAGGAATACAATACTAAATTAGAATACTTTATATAGAGTTATAGATATATATGATCATATATGCATTTACAATAGTTACTATTTACATTTAATTAATAATTGGTATGCTGTGAGGTGTACTGTCCAATAAAGGGTCCAGAATGACAAACAATGGGTCATATTATATATTTTTATTATAACAAATTACTTATTTCAGTTACTTAGATATTATATATTAATCAATTAAATCAAAATTAATCATGTTATGTACTTGGTTTAACCTATTTTTAATTTACTTTTATATTATGTTTGAAATTATATTGTAATTATTCTGCTCATTTTGGGCGCCGTGATTGGCAAATAAAATATTTGTTTGTTTGTTTTGTTTACCCCTTGTCGAAACTGGTACAAAATAAACAAAATTAACAAATAAAAATAAAATTGAGAATGGAAATTGGGAATGTGTCAAAGAGACAACAACCCGACCAAAGAGCAGAAAACAGCCAAAGGCCACAATAGGTCTTCAACACAGCGAGAAAATCCCGCACCCGGAGGCGGGCTTCAGCTGGCCCCTAAACAAAAATGTCTACTAGTTCAATGAAAATGGACGTCACACTAAACTCCAAAACATATAAATGAACTAAAATTAAAAGACATACAAGACTTACAAAGGCCAGAGGCTCCTGACTTGGGACAGGCAGAAAAATGCGGCGGGGTTAAACATGTTTTGTGAGATCTCAACCCTCCCCCTATACCTTTAGCCAATGTAGAATAAACAAACACACAGCAATACGCACAGTAAAACTCAGTTTAAAAGAAGTCCCAGTCCGATGTCAGAATAGGTAACAAAAGAAACTAAGCAAAATAACAATGATACATAAATTAACAAAGGACTACTAGCAGTTACTGACATGCCAGCTCCAGACCTCAATTAAACTGATTGAAAGATTATGTCTTCATCATATGAAAATCAAGCACAATCCCTCCCCTTAGGGGTTTAGTATCATACCATCATAAAATATATGAGTAGAACATAACCTGTATCATGCCAACAACTGGTTTTTGAGTAAATGTGTTTATTTCCGATGCAAAGACCCTATGAGTGAATCAATATTAATACCAAATAATATGCCATCTTTAATGACCTGACAACAGTATCGCAACTATATCCCTTCTGAATAAGTCTGTTTAAAGGTTTTGTTAGCTTTTGAGGTGAATGTCGACATTTTTGTGCTTTGTATAGAATATTACCATAAAAGATTGGATGTGAAATACCTGAACGTATAAGATGTCTGCATGTTGATTTATATTTACGAATGATGTCCTTGTACCGATGATAAAATTTAGTAAATGTTTTGACTAGTTTGTGATATCGAAAACCCTAGTGTAATAATTTTTCAGTAATACAGAGGTTTCTTTCGTTAAAATCAAATACGTTGTTACATACACGAGCGAATCGAAAGCATATTCAATACCCCTTGTCGAAACTGGTACAAAACAAAAAAATTAACAAAGCATATTCAATATTCCTTGTCGAAACTGGTACGAAATAAACAAAATTATAACACAGCATATTCAATACCCCTTGTCGAAACTGGTACAAAATAAACAAAATTAACAAAGCATATTCAATATCCCTTGTCGAAACTGGTAGGTATTATAAGTTTCATAGTGCATGTGCTAGTGACCTAATACGATATATATATGGGGTCAGTAAATTCCATATGGGGTGAGAGCGAAGCTCTGATCCCATATATATCGTATTAGGTCACTAGCACACTGCGTAACGAATTTATCTTACCGACTATCTTAACATGTGGCATTTAGACTAGTGGGCTGGCCTATCAAAGTGATCAAGTCTCCAACATTAAGAACCTACTTCCATTGGTCTAGACAAAAATAAATGCCAACAATAACAACTTCTTAGCTTTCAATGTATTTTCTGCATTTATTTCGATCGTTCATCATCAATTTCTTCGTCTGTTGAAACCTTTCAGATTTTTCCTCAACACCGTGTTGTTTTTACAAAGGGACGTAATACCACTACTAACCGTGTATTGAAATAAACCACGCCTACTCACCCCATATGAAATATACACGGTCTCCACGCGGTCGCTTTTAACCAATCATATTCCTAGAAATGTATGGAGGTAAGATAAATTTCTTTGTAGTCCTGTAAAATTTATTGACAACATTTCTAGAACCTTTCTAGACTCGGGACGATCTAAAGAGTTTCACATAAACATTTGTCAAGTATTATTGTTGAAGCCTGTATGTTGAACTCTACATGCCTTGTTGTATTTAAAGACGTTACCATTGGCGTATTCTCCATATCTTTTAATTTTTGATTCACAAAGAGACGAATACATATTTTGTCTCAATTAAATGACCTCTATGCAGAAAAATACTAAATCATGTGATTTAAATAAAAAGTCTTTTAACGCGTTATTAAGTTACAAATACATTAAATGTTATTCAGTGCAAGAAATCACATCCATGAATGGATTATCACGTAATTGTGTATTTAAATTTTATTATCAGATTACGTAATATAACTAACTGTACAAGTATTTAATTAAAAGTAATCGGTAGTGATGTAACGTCACAGTACCCAAATTGCACCGAGTACCCAAATTACACCTATTAAGCAAAAATAGCAGAGTTTTCTTAGAGACTAAACAATTTGTATTTTTATGATTTGTCATTATGCACGTCCTTCAACATAGCTAAATATATTTAGATATACACAAAACATTCACAGTATATTAAATCAACAGAAGAAGTATTCACTGAAAAAAGTAAAATCTACAGAAACATCGCCATGCGACGTCCACATAAAGTCAACTTTTAAAAATGAGCAATTAAACTATGTAACAGGCACCATTTCTTAAAAAATGAATAGTAAGTATGGACTATTGTCAAATTGTTCTAAATATTTGGAGAAATAAAACAAAAATATTCGATTTTTACTGATATGAATTTGAGGCATAGATGCAATTTGGGTACTCCTCATTACAGAATCATGGATCGTTTGGAGGTCGGTGCAAACCCGTTTTTAGCTCACCCGGCCCAAAGGGCCAAGTGAGCTTTTCTCATCACTTGGCGTCCGTCGTCGTCCGTCGTCGTCGTTAACTTTTTACATTTTGAACTTCTTCTAGAGAACCACTGAATGGAACGAAACCAAACATGGCATGAATGTTCCTTATGAAGTGTTGACCAAGTGTTGTTACTTTGTAGCCGATCCATCATCCAAGATGGCCGCCAGCGGGGGACTTAGTATAACATAGGACCCTATGGGAAATACATACAAATGTCTTCTTTTAGAGAACCAGTGAATGGAACAAAGCCAAACATGGCATGAATGTTCCTTATGAGGTGCTGACCAAGTGTTGTTACTTTGCAGTCGGTCCATCATCCAAGATGGCCGCTAGCGGGGGACTTAGTTTAACATAGGACCCTATGGGAAATACATACAAATGTCTTCTTTTAGAGAACCACTGAATGGAATGAAACCAAACATAGCATGAATGTTCCTTATGAGGTGCTGACCAAGTGTTGTTACTTTGCAGTCGGTCCATCATCCAAGATGGCCGCCAGCGGGGGACTTAGTTTAACAAAGGACCCTATGGGAAATACATACAAATGTCTTCTTTTAGAGTACCACTGAATGGAATGAAACCAAAATTGGCATGAATGTTCCTTATGAGGTGCTGACCAAGTTTTGCTACTTTGTTGCCGATTTACTGTTAAGATGGCCACCAGGGTATTTTATTAAATAACAGGACCAATATTAAACCAAATTTGGCCTCAATCATTATTTGGGTATCTGTTATGATTTTTATCTATCTTTACATGATTTCTAAAACCAAAGTAGAGTCAGGTGAGCGACACAGGCTCTTGAGAGCCTCTAGTTCTATTCAAAATTAAATTGGTGGAACTATATAGTAGATAAGGATACATCTACAATTTAATTACAGAATGGAAACTTTTTTCTGGATCATAAATAAACGTAGGTGAAAAAACTGTCAAAATAGGTGAAATTTGGGTACCCTCACGTTATACTCCGGCATAAATTTCAAAAGTTGTTTATACCAAATAGTTATCACATGAATATGTGACAGTCACAAATAATGAATGAGAGTGACCTTTAATATATTTATCAACTTTTTGTTCATGTTGAATTATGATAAAATAAATAATTTTTGTCAGTAAGTCAGAAGAAAAGCTCATATACAATTCTCTGTGAGGAAACTTTTTTAGGTGGTGTTTATTTGCGTATAAATGTGCAATTAAAAAAAAGTTATTTAATATTTAAACAGATTTACTACGCAGGTATCGCCGACAGGTTTTTTTTTACTTGCTCTCAATACTTTTTCTGGTTTGTACCAGATATTTACAATGTGTGTTTTAAACAATCGTAACTATTCGGCCATTCTTGCTACCGCCGAACAAAAATATTGTACGCGTACAATGTAGCGAGAATGCCCGAGTAGTTACGATTGGTGTTTAAATGTGATGAAGCCATCGGCCTTTTACATAATTCAGTTTAAATGTTTTGTTTTAGTTAATTGAGGCCTGATTTCAAGGGACAGCAGCATCCTTAAATTGGGTTCAGGCCAACCATATTGTTAATCCGAGATGTAACACGAAAAACTTTCATTTTGAACAGTTAATTTTTTGGGCTACATTTTTATTGGGCCTTGTTCGGGATAAGTCAAGCATCCACGAGCTATGCAAAACTTTTACTCATAATTATATCATGATATGTTATTGAAAGTGTTGTTAATTTATCAAAGAAAAGCATTGTCCATTTTCACTCTTTTGTAATTATTTTTCAACTACACAATACAAGTGTATGAAGGTTATCACAAGAAGATTTGAGAGACACATGCATTTATTCCACTTTCGACTTTGAAGGAATTACTCTTTTTGCAGATGCATTAACCTAGTACTTTACATTGTCATGGTTGTTATCTGACACGTCTTATTTTCAGATGGCGTCTAGTGATGAGAGTGAAGACTCTTCCGAAGAAGGTCCCCAGTACAATTCTATAAAACAACCACCGCTGATCAATCAACTAAAGAAAATACTAGATGAGTATCCGGATGATGGCCAGATCCTTAAGGTATGTTAAACTATAGATAAATTAAATGTTTCTTTTTATGTTAGATCTGCTTAGTTTGTCTTCGACTCTAAATTAGGATGAAGTCATTTTTTTGACAATAATTATGTCCGTCTATCACAACTGACAACTCAAAATCTCCTTTATTGTATACAAATGGTCAAGGGTTATCCTTTATTGTATACAAATGCTCAAGTTATATCCTTAATTGTATACAAATGGTTAAGTTATATCCTTTATTGTATACAAATGGTCAAGTTATATCCTTTATTGTATACAAATGGTCAAGTTATATCCTTTATTGTATACAAATGGTCAAGTTATATCCTTCATTGTATACAAATGGTCAAGTTATATCCTTTATTGTATACAAATGGTCAAGTTATATCCTTTATTGTATACAAATGGTCAAGTTATAAGTACAGTTTGCCTTTAAGTTTGATGACTTCAGTTTTAAGTATCAGTATTTTGTTGGATGTTGTTTCAGATTGATTTTTGTGTATTTCCCATAGCATAACGCGGGATTTTGAGATTTGCACATGGGGATAAATACGTAAGAGAATATCACACACATTATATTGGAACAGAACGATAAAAAAAAAGATGAATACGTGTATGTAAAGGTTTTGAATCTGTTGCAGTACCGAATTAGTCTGTGTGTATGTAGTATTCTACTTTTACTCGTATTTGGTTCAATTTATCAAGTCCAATGAATGAAATGACCTTTACTTAATTCTTATTATGATCCACTGCGACCAAGTAAATGTAATAACACAACTCTGGAAAAAATACAACGGTAAAATATAGAGCAGAGAAAGATTATAATTGTTAGCATGCATTCACCAAATGGAGGAGTATCCGAGCTGGTTTAAAATAATGTTGACAGTTGACAGTTTATTAAACCTTTTGTTTTAGGAGATCATACAGAATGCAGAGGATGCTGAAGCATCTCAGATGAAAATATTGTTTGATGAGAGAATTGTAAACACTGATGATGGAACAAAGGGGAAAAGGTTCAAGAAATACTTCAAGGTTTGTAATAGAGCATCGACAATGATTGTGGATAACATTCTTTTAGCCTGATACAAAAATGTCTGAATGACACATTGGTTGATCATACTTTATGACTCTCTCTTTAAATACAGTATTAAACATATTTGGTTTTACAAACTTTGGGTCCCTAGTGTTTATATGGAAAAGGATGTCTAATACAGCAAATTCGGTATGTTTGGTTTGACTTAATGTTTGTATGGACAGAAGTCGACTACGGAAAGTTATTAATTCTGCGATGAATATATTTTATATAAAAATACGAAGTTACACAAACTAGTGACCTACATAGCCAAGAAAAAAACATACGTAATAAATAATTTACGTTATACTGAAGTATACTTGTAAGGGAATGAAAGTTGTCTCTCTTCCTACAGTTGATCGGGTAAAACATTTTATTCAAACTTCTTTAATATGTATAAATAATGTATTAAATTACCAACGTGAGATATCAAGATTTCTTTAATAGATTGATTGTTTGCTTTCTTAACATCCAGTGGCAAATATTTCATGCATGTTCAGGACGAGGGCAAAAAGTAAAATAACAAAAATACCGAAATCCAAGGAAAATTCAAAACAGAAAGTCCCTTATCAGAAGACAAAATCAAAAACTCAAAGACATCAAACGAAAGGAAAACAACTGTCATATTCTTGACTTGGTACAGGCATTTTCTTATGTAGAAAATGGTGGACTAAAACTTGTTTTATAGCTAGCTAAACCTCTCACTTGTATGACAGTCGCATAAAATTCCATTATATTGACAACAATGTGTGAACAAAATAAACAGATATAATAGGTAAAAATGTCAAAAATAGGGGTACAGCAGTCAACATTGTGTTATAATCTTAATCACTATAAAAACAAACAAATATGTCAAAAAAGAAAAAAAAGCAAATTAACCAAATATATACAATCGTTAGATCCTGTTATAAGGGTTGACTGGGATGAAGGACGAGAAATTTGGGCAACCACTGGAAAATAAGGGTAAATTGGACAGGGACGGCATTTAGCCTTGCAACAGGTCACCTACGGACCCCTCAAAAATTTCTTGCAAGTTTCTTAACTTGTAAAAGCGTGGCACTCTCTCAACACGAGACATCGAATTTAACGTCCCCATTCTGACCCGCGGACGTGGTTGCGAATTTATACATCTCGCACAACCAAACGGACGCCCACTTTTGGCAAGGGTTTTACCGCCAGTCGGAAGAAGACCAAGAGTATCCATATTTTCATTCCCAAATCACCCCGGGATTTCTCTAGTAGAAAAAAGCGGGTCAAATGTTAGTGACTATTTTCAGGGTGCATTGTTGTGTGTATATAATAATGCCAATTTTACAGTGTCCAGCGTTGTATGTATATAACAATGCCAATATTACATGGTCAACCGTTGTGTGTTTATAACAATGCTAATTTTACAGGGTCCAGCGTTGTGTATAGTTGAAGAAGAATATGTTTTATTTCCAATTAAATGGGCTCACAAAGAGCATATTACAATATAAGTCATTATTTAAACAACTACAAAAAACAGTAATCAAGTATACATACAAAGAAAAGAAAAAGCAGTTTGAGCATGTACATGTATGAACTACACACACATATAAATATATATATATTTATCGCTATTTTACGAAATTTTCCTTTGATCTCGCTGACTGATAATTTCCTTTCTCAGCGGAGTCGAGTGATATGAAAAATTATTGCTAGAAACTAAGGGGGCACGTGGCGTTGCTAATGAAATTGACATGAAATTGACAACGTCGTCATATGTAAAATAGCGATAAACAGATTATCATTGATCATCTCAACTCGATTGCTTTTCTCACTTTCGCCGTACCGGCTCAAGCGAGAAAATCAATCTCGTTGAGATGATCAACGATAATCTATAAATATATAAAAGTACGTCTAAACAAGTGACAACTCTACGACAGATCCATCCATTGGATCACCAGTGAAGGTGATACACGGCTGAAAACACATATTATATTCATAATTACTCTTAATATCATCACAACAATGTTAAATCTGCAAATTTGCGGAAGCAAATTTTTGTTCTTCCCTCGCCGGGATTCGAACTCATGCTATTGGGATAACGAGACAAATCCGCCTGCACTGTGTCCAGCGCTTTAGACCACTCGGCCAGTTCAGTTCAGTTCAGTCTAGGTGGCTGAGTGGTCTAGAGCGCTGGACACAGTGCAGGCGGTGTTGTCTCGATATCCCAATAGAATGAGTTCGAATCCCGGCGAGGGAAGAACAAAAAATTGCTTCTGCAAATTTGCAGATTTAACTTTGTTGTGCTGATATTTATAAATATATATATATATACGTTTGCAAGTGTAATAACTCCTTCTCAGACTCACCCCAACATGAAAAAGTGCTTTTAATAAATTGGCAATTTAGTGGATATTTAACTAAACTGCAAAAGCCACCAAGAGACGGAGCTGCATGACAAGGTTGGAGTTAAACGCACATTTTATACATGTATGTAGATAAACAATTTGGTTCGAACATTATTAGCAGATGCACAAACCTGACATGTCATCCTCGTGCCTGATGCAGAGGGGTTGATACATATTGCCAGGTGATCCGACTGCAGGAGGCACCAAGGGACAATGCTAAATGACATATATACCCAAGAATACATAGTACCCAATAGAAAAATACTTATATATAATATATATGCGAAAATTTCTGATTCTCTAAAATTTCCTTTTCTCCTTTTTCTCTTCATTCACCTTCTTTTTTTCTTCTCTAGAAAAGTAACAAATGTGTATATATAATAATTTGCCAATTTTACAGGGTCCAGCATTGTATGTATATAACAATGCCAGTTTTACAAGGTCTAGCGTTGTGTGTATATAACAATGCAATTTTACAGGGTCCACCGTTGTGTTTATGTATAATAATTTGCCAATTTAACAGGGTCCAGCGTTGTGTGAATAAATAACAATTTGCCAAATTTTACAGGTTCCAGCGTTGTGTGTATAAATAATAATTTGCCAATTTTACAGGGGCCAGCGTTGTGTGTATATAACAATGCCAATTTTACAAAAGAGGACTGGGAGGGAATACAGATGATAAACAGCAGTGTTAAAGAATTCGATCCTGTAAAGATTGGACGCTTTGGACTTGGATTCAAGTCAGTGTTCCATATAACAGGTAAGAATAGAATAATTCCTGTTAATTTGTTCTCCATTGAGTTTGGCTAAAGGACGAGACTCATTATTCTGACTCCGAGCCGACCGTGTTTTTATTCTTAATCATAAATGCTGCACTCTGATGACCCGGAGCCCATGACCTCCCGCACTAGAGGCAATAACACTACGATGAGACCATTCAGTTTATTTAAATTAAATTCATAATTGTATTTGTAGAAAATTCATGACTGCATACATTTTATAGCTTGGTTTCTAATAGATTCAGATGTGTAATATTAATCTTGGTTTTGTTTCATAATATATTTTTGTGTCTTTAAGTTACATGTCTTCTTTATCACGTTATTGATCATGCAGCTACTGACCACATTATCGATACTGTTCCTTTAAAAACATTTTGAATAATCTTAAACCACTTTCGGTATATTCCGACATATCTGACAGATATACGAAGGTCACCTGTAGAGTTTGACCTGTATTTACCAGTGTTAATTTATGTTTTATAGATTATCCCATGATAATAAGTGGAAACAGATTGCTAGTTCTTGACCCTCATCAGAAAAATGCTAACCGAGTCTGCATCAATATGAGATTGAACAAACTACATAAATACATAAAGCACCTGGATGTTTCTTACTGTTTAAATGCCTTAGATGGGTTGTTCGGATTCTCTCAAGGAACACTAGATTGTGGTGATTTTGATGGCACACTATTCCGTTTTCCTCTTAGGGAACAGAAAACAAATTTGTCAGATAATGTGTATAACAAAGAGAAGATATTAGATCTCTTCAATGCTTTTCAAGCAGAGGCATCCGTAGAGCTGTTATTCCTGAAATGTCTTGAGAAGATAGAACTATGCTTCAAAGATACAGATGGGTTTTATACATCTGATGAACCCTTTTTTACTGTTGGAATTACAGAAAACTGTCTCAATCAAGTACGGGAAAGAAGATCAGAATTTCACAGTCATATGAAGTCGGTAGGTCTAAATATTGCGGATGAGACATTGATGACGACTTTTAATGTGACGATTGGAACTAAAGCCGAATTAGACGACATGACAGAACAGAACTGGTTTGTCCTACATTGCTTGAAAGGAGGGAATGTATCGAAAGAATTAGCTGACCTATCAAAAGACGAATCATTGTCATACAGTCCATATGTCAGCATAGCTGTACTGATGGATAAAGATCAGGATTTTAAAGGCCATGTTTTCTGTTTAATGCCATTGCCACTGGAAGATGAAAGTTTGACTGGATATCCTGTTCACGTAAATGGATATTTTGCTTTGAGTCAAAATAGACGACACGTAAAATGGCCTACTGCTGACCAGACACGTAATAAAGCTCACATAGATAAATCAATCAGATGGAACAAACGTCTGGTTGTAGAAGTCTTAGCAGATGTTTATAATGCAGTCATTCAAGGTCTGATCCAAACTTGCAAGAAAAATGGTAATAACGTGGATCAACTGCAACTCATGTACAAATCTGTCCCCGATCACAGAAAAATAAATAGTCACTGGGATCTTATTATTGACCCTTTCTTCGATGAACTTCTGGAGACACCGTTTTTATACTCTGATAGCTGTGGAGGGAAATGGATATGCCCAGATGAAGCTGTATTTCAAATTTTTGAGGGCGAGGTTTCTGATGGTAAGTCATTATAATGATATCCCATATTGTCTATAATATGTTCGTATTTTTAATTTTGCAACATTTTCTTTTATATTAGTAATGGTCAGTTAAAATATATCTCTCCAGGGGCGTGTCAAGCATTTTGGAAAAGGGGGATGGATAATTTTTTTTTTTGGTGTGCATCGCCAAGGATAGTGGAGGGCATTTGTTTTATGGTCTATGCATTATTCTGTCCTTCCCGTAACAACATTTGTTTTTACATAAGGGGAACAAGGGGCTTTAAATTCTATTCTTTTGAATGTGTCAACCAATAAGGTAACACTCTCAGAAAAATATGCCACTTATCCGGGACACAGATGGTCTTTGAGTCTACCAGTACTAGTGTTTGTTCTATTCCAATACTTCCAAATGTCGCTTGTATAGTCGTAACAGTGTATAAATCTAATGATTTAATCGGGTAGGTGATTGAACCCACGAACTCCTGCATCAGAGTCGATCATGTTTATACCCTGACCATTAAGAAAGAAAAAATAATGAGAATGTAGTATGTTAAAGTTAGATATATAAAAATATCAAAGAAACTCCAACTGACCAAGTTTATATCTTACCTTTCAGAAGTTAAACAGACAATATACAAAATAATGCAGAAGAACAGTATAGCTCTAGTTGATGCTCCTGATCATATTGTCGGTGTTCTGACAGAGAGAAATCACAAAGTACAAACATTGTCAAGACAATTTATTAGCTGCTGCATGGAGTCAGATCCCTCTTACGAAAGCCTTTCAAAACAGGACAAAATTAACATTTTAGACTATTTAATTTCTGATGGCGATTATTCAAGATTAATAGGACTAAACCTGTTACCTTTGAACAACGACACCTTCTGTGCCTTCAACAACGAGAATAAAAATAGTAATGTATTTGTATGTAAAGAAGAGGTATTTTTGTTTCCTGGTCAAGAAGAGAAGTTTGTAAAAGTTGGACTGAATGAAGAAATTTACAACAAATTCCTAACAATGGCTAAGAGAGGTAAGAGGTTTTTTCTAATTCTATTGTATTCTACTTTTTAGTATTTTATACTGAATAGCACTTACTTTTGCAGTCGTAAAAATGATATCAGTTCATCTTTCAAGATAAGGAGATTTTCAAATTTAACAACCGATGATTAATATTTTATGCTTGATCAAGCCAATATTTTACACATTAAACCAAAAACATGTAGAAGTCAGCATGTAAACAAAAACAGTTGTCTATATAATTTGTCAAGCTATATATATTACACCCAGTCTAAAACTATTGTGAATACATTTTACCAATATAAAAATAAGAAGATGTGGTATTATTGCAAATGAGACAACTCTCCACAATAGACCCAAGTGACACAGAAATTAACAACTATAGGTCACCGTACGGAATTCAACAGGCTTTAAGAGGTCTGCCATTACCTCTATAGTCCCGAAACTTCTGGAAACATTAAGATATGACAAATTACAACCATTCTTTGCTGTAGATATGCACATGAACATGTGACGGGTTAAAAATGAAAAAAACACGTTAAATTATTTCATGCGTCCGAAGCGCTTTTCACGATTCACTTTCACCAGGAACGCTCAAAGCCGAATACTTAAAAGCCGAGGATGTATAAGAACCGAAACAGTTGAAGAGCTATATGACAAAAAATACCTAAAATATAGCCAAATCCATCTAAGGTCAACTTTGCCTGAGGTAGTTGAAACTTTAGTTTCTTTATAATTTCAAAATTTATAAACGGACAATTTAGAAAGGTTTGATATAAATCATGTCACTACCGAAGTACTGACTACTGAGCTGATGATACCCTCGGGGACTGATAGTCCACCAGCAAAGTTATCGACCGAGTGCTGTAAAAAATTGAAAACAACACGTTAAATAATTGCATGCGTCCGAAGCGCTTTTCTGGATTAACCTTTTGTTTTTGAGAGGTGTTGAATTTATTGGAAACTTTATTACTACCTGGACGTGCTTGACTTGTTGTATAGACAGATGTCTTTTGTTACATACTACGTATCCATCTAAATGTCTTTTGTTAGAGACTGTACGTTTCCATTTAGATGTCTTTTGTTAGAGACTACGTTTCCATCTAAATGTCTTTTGTTAGAGACTGTACGGTCCATCTAAATGTCTTTTGTTAGAGACTGTACGTTTCCATATAAATGTCTTTTGTTCGAGACTACGTTTCGATCTAAATGTCTTTAGTTCGAGACTGTACGTTTCGATCTAAATGTCTTTTGTTAGAGACTGTACGTTTCCATCTAAATGTCTTTTGTTAGAGACTGTACGTTTCCATCTAAATGTCTTTTGTTCGAGATTGTACGTTTCCACGTTTCCATCTAAATGTCTTTTGTTCGAGACTGTACGTTTCCATCTAAATGTCTTTGTTCGAGACTGTACGTTTCCATCTAAATGACTTTTGTTCGAGACTGTACGTTTCCATCTAAATGTCTTTTGTTCGAGACTCTACGTTTCCATCTAAATGACTTTTGTTAGAGACTGTACGTTTCCATCTAAATGTCTTTTGTTCGAGACTGTACGTTTCCATCTAAATGTCTTTTGTTCGAGATTGTACGTTTCCACGTTTCCATCTAAATGTCTTTTGTTAGAGACTGTACGTTTCCATATAAATGTCTTTTGTTCGAGACTACGTTTCCATCTAAATATCTTTTGTTCGAGACTGTACGTTTCCATATAAATGTCTTTTGTTCGAGACTGTACGTTTCCATCTAAATGATTTTTGTTAGAGACTGTACGTTTCCATCTAAATGTCTTTTGTTCGAGACTGTACGTTTCCATATAAATGTCTTTTGTTAGAGACTGTACGTTTCCATCTAAATGTCTTTTGTTAGAGACTGTACGTTTCCATCTAAATGTCTTTTGTTAGAGACTGTACGTTTCCATCTAGTAAATGTCTTTTGTTAGAGACTGTACGTTTCCGTCTAAATGTCTTTTGTTCGAGACTGTACGTTTCCATCTAAATGTCTTTTGTTAGAGACTGTTCGTTTCCATCTAAATGTATTTTGTTCGAGACTGTACGTTTCTATCTAAATGTCTTTTGTTAGAGACTGTACGTTTCCATCTAGTAAATGTCTTTTGTTAGAGACTACGTTTCCATCTAAATGTCTTTTGATCGAGACGGTACGTTTCCATCTAAATGTCTTTTGTTAGAGACTGTACGTTTCCATCTAAATATCTTTTGTTCGAGACTGTACGTTTCCATCTAAATGTCTTTTGCTCGAGACTGTACGTTTCCATCTAAATGTCTTTTGTTCGAGACTGTACGTTTCCATATAAATGTCTTTTGTTAGAGACTGTACGTTTCCATCTAAATGTCTTTTGTTCGAGACTGTACGTTTCCATATAAATGTCTTTTGTTAGAGACTGTACGTTTCCATCTAAATGTCTTTTTTTCGAGACTGTACGTTTCCATCTAGTAAATGTCTTTTGTTAGAGACTGTACGTTTCCGTCTAAATGTCTTTTGTTCGAGACTGTACGTTTCCATCTAAATGTCTTTTGTTAGAGACTGTTCGTTTCCATCTAAATGTATTTTGTTCGAGACTGTACGTTTCTATCTAAATGTCTTTTGTTAGAGACTGTACGTTTCCATCTAGTAAATGTCTTTTGTTAGAGACTACGTTTCCATCTAAATGTTTTTTGTTCGAGACTGTACGTTTCCATCTAAATGTCTTTTGTTAGAGACTGTACGTTTCCATCTTAATATCTTTTGTTCGAGACTGTACGTTTCCATCTAAATGTCTTTTGCTCGAGACTGTACGTTTCCATCTAAATGTCTTTTGTTCGAGACTGTACGTTTCCATATAAATGTCTTTTGTTAGAGACTGTACGTTTCCATCTAAATGTCTTTTGTTCGAGACTGTACGTTTCCATATAAATGTCTTTTGTTAGAGACTGTACGTTTCCATCTAAATGTCTTTTTTTCGAGACTGTACGTTTCCATATAAATGTCTTTTGGTTAGTTTTGTCATGTGGCTGTTGTCTAATTAACTTACATTTTCTTGTCTTATGACTAAATGGCCAGTATGAGCTTTTGTAATCACTTGGTGTACGTCGTCCGTTAACTTTTACTAAGATCTGCTGCTCTGACACTATTTGGTCAATTAGAACCAAAGTTTGCCACACTCATCATTGTGGTATCTTGTTTTAAAAAATGTGTTCGGTAATCCCGCATTACAACCAAAATGTCTGACAAGGTTCAGATAAGAACTGAGCGGTAAAATACAAGTATTGTCTATTATATTATTAACCGTTATATATAGAGAAAATCTGACGGGTCCAATATGTTCAAAATGTCACTATAACCCTACTGTTAAATATGACTAAAACTGTCAGACCATTCTACATAAGAGAGCTTTGAATGACGATTTGTATCCATATTGTTTAGTTTTTATGTGAAAACACAGAGATAAACTGTAAAAGCAGAACTTGTCCTGATTAGGCCATAAAAAGAATATGGTTGTTTGCCCTAACCCTACCTACCCAGAAAATAGCAGCCTACTCAAAATATTTTATTGTCCTGGTGTGAAATTTTTTTTCTTAATCAGATAGGCATGAAGACTAAAAAAAACATCTGACACTTCAATTTCTCTTTGACGAAAAAAAAAAAAGAAAAAGCCTACCTACCTACCCACTGTCTCTATCATTTTGTACGGTTTGGCAAACTAAAATATTTCTAAGTGTGGCCTTACACAGAGTCCTCTTGGGTGACAATTTTTAACCAATTTTTTATGTGTTTTGCGGAAACTATAGAAAGAAAGATTTTTATTTTTGTGATGCGTTTCTTCTGTTGTTTAATATATATGAAGCATAAACGATCAGCAGGACAAGAACTGCACTAAATTCTACATGACTGAAATCATCAGTTGACACATCATATGAGTTTACATGTATTGATCAAGAGATCAATAACATTCATATGCCTTTCGCCTACTATTGTTGTAATCTGCATCAAAACTTTTGCATGACATAATGTGTTTGTAAACATAACAATACTTTTCTGGACTTTTGTCCGGTATGGATATGAAAATACGAACGATCAACTGAAAATAGCCCGTCAAACATACAAAAAACAACCATGATATTCATTTAAACCAACTTTGAAGGTTATATTATTCTTCAACCATCTAAAGAAAATTTTATTGCAAAATAATTTTCATATGTGAAAGTTTCATCGCGACCAAAAATTGCCAAATGCGAAACCACGCTTCAAACTGTGTATAGTTACCTTAGTTTTATGCAAAAATACAAGGTGAGCGATACTAGCACATTGGAGCTTCTAGTTCATATACTTAAAGATTTTAACCAGTCATTATCTTAACCCGAAAAATCTCAATTTTAGCAGTCATGAATTAATCAAATTCTAATAATGTTAAACATGCATGAATGTTTATTAACTATTTCGACTAAATTATTATTGCAGTAAACTTTTCGACAGATTAAAAAAAAAACTTCAAGTAAAAACTTTATCATATCAGGGGAGATTACTCAGAACTTTAATTTTTTTTATAAGAATGAACAGTAAATGAACCTCTTTTGTTTAAATATAAAGCAAGAAAACGAGAAGGGGATCCCCTACTTGTTCTTTAATTTTATGTAAATACATTATAAAGGATTATCTTTTAAGATTCTATCATTTAGTTTTCTTTATATTTCCACAAACTTTTTTTTTCATGTATAATTCTGACAAATTTGACTATCTTGCATAACTTGTAGCTTGAAAAAATCAAGGTGACGCGTACTTTTTATAATATTTAAGAAAAAAACATGATATACTAGTAAACTACATTTAGGAAACGTATGGAAACATTCTATCGATTTTAATTTCGACCCCACCCAATCTAGCTTAAGGTTGTCTTGAGAATGTAATACTGATTCACATGTAATTTTTACAGGACTTTACCAACTAGTTAGTCTCCAAGATCAGTCTGCAAGGGATATCGCCAGCTTACTTCAGGAATCCATAGAAAAGTACATAGGAGCGACATCTAACAGATCTTATCAGTGGCGTCAGTCAGATCCAGTTGGAATTGTCTGGCTGAAGAAAGTTTGGTCTTACATCCAGCAATATGATTTGAATCATTTTAGTCATATGCATTTGATACCTGATTCTAGAACACAGGAGTTATACAAAATATCCACCGGCTTTCTTTTGAAGTCAAATGGATCATGTGATATCCCGTCTGATGTGTGTAATTGTTTGAGGTATTTTGATATTGTAATCCTTGATGAAATTCCCGCTGAAATTGAGGATCATAAGAACATTCGTAGCTTTGTATATCTACCAACCGTTGAAAATGTATTCAATACGTTAACCAATGTCCAGACATGGGGAAATATCGGTCAGTTTGTTAGCAAATTTAATTCCTCAGTTACAGAAACTGAAAGATCGCAATTTGTAGCATATATTTCGGACTATTCAAAGATGAGTAGTAGTTTAATCAGCCTTCTGTCTGACCTGAATCTGTTTAAAGAGAAGAATTCTCGTCAATTTGTGTCGATAAATAAAGTCAAGACGATTGCCGAATCCGATGATCTACCAGTACGGTACTTTAAGGAAACACTAGAGTGTTCTGACCCTTTATATAGAAATCTTGCAAAGCTACTGAAAGCTGAAATCATTGGCAAAGAAGATGTTATAGTTGAAATTCTTCAGAATCTGGAAAACAAATATGATCCCAACGACAGGAACACAGTGTTGGAATATGTACTAAACAATATGTCATTCTTTCATAAAAAGGAAGAAATGCTGGAAATAGCCAAAAACGTAGAGTTTGTATGCAACAAAATTAGTCAGATGAAAAAAGCATCAGAATTGTTTGATCCCGAGGATGACATTACTAGCCTGGTTATACTAGACGAAAACAGATTACCAGATACTCTGAACTTACCTATAAGTCTACAACTACTTCGAAAACTTGGTTTAAAATCATGGCGTTGTATTACACAGGAGGACATCCTTTCTTGTGCTAAGCACATACAGGAAAATTCAAAATGTTCAAACGAGAAACAACGTTCGGAAAAATTGTTACAACTTTTACATAAAGCAAGTGGGCTACTGAAGAGCAGTGTGGATGGCATACAACTGTCTCAACAACTTTTAAACATTGAATTTATTGCACCAAGTCCACGAAAAGATGATTTTCCAGTATCACTGCCTTGGTTAACTGAGACGTCAACCACTTTGTTTTATCGACCTTGCGATCTGATTAATAGTAAATATACTAGATTGGTAGGAAGTGTTAAACCCATTTTGAACACCAGTATAACTGACGATTTGGTAGACAGCTTGTGTTGGAACAAAGAACCGAATTGCACTGATGTGATCAATCAGTTACTTGTTATTACAAAAAGGTACGAAGATAGGAATAAACCAGAACTTCTCCCCGTTATAAACGACATCTACAAGTTTTTGTCTACTCGGTCTGAGCCAAACAATGCTTTTCAACATTTAACTTCTCAGAAATGGATTTGGACTGGAAATGGATTTGAATCATCAGATAAAGTTTATTTGCAGACTTATCCGAACGATATTTACCTGCTCCCGTATATGTACCCATTGCCTGCTGAGTTCCACGATCCAGTTTTATTACAGTTCTTTAGAACAATGAATTGTATAGAAGATCAAAATACAAGATTATTGATAAGAGTACAAACAATGATCCGAGAGAAATATAAAGGAGGTAGAGAAACCGTAGGGAGGGCAAAGACAGATCTTCAACTTGTTGTTAGCATTTTAAATATCTTGAAGGATGCAGATGAAACTGATATTGAATCTGTTTTGCTTCCAATTCAACAACGAGATGAATGCAAAGTTATATTGAAACCAGTAAAAGAATGTAGTTATTGTGAGGATGATGATGAAATATTTGGAGATGAAAGAGATTTTGTGCACCATATGGTACCTCGTGAAGCTATTGAAAAATTCGGTGTTCCGTCTGTAGGCGACACATTGCTTGAAGATGCAGAACTATTGGAAGAGTGGGGACAAAGTGAACCTCTGACTCGGAGAATTAAAACTCTACTTGATGCTTATAGAGATGGTCTGTCAGTTCCAAAAGAAATAATCCAAAACGCTGATGATGCTGGGGCAACAAAGGTGTGTTTCTTGTATGATGAACGTGATGGAGAAAAATATGGTCGAAAATTACTGGACAAAAATATGTTTGAATGCCAGGGACCATCGTTTTGGGCATATAATAATGCTAGATTTTCCACTGACGATTTGAAAAATATAACAAAACTTAATGGTGCAACAAAAGAAGCAGATACAACAAAGATCGGGAAATTTGGACTCGGATTTTGCTCTGTCTACAACTTAACAGATGTTCCAAGTTTTGTAACAGGAGATCAAATGGTAATATTTGATCCTCACTATGAGTATCTCGGAGAAGCATTGAGGCGCAAAAGGCAGCCGGGTTTGAAAATTGACTTCAGACGGAACAAAAAGATATTAGAAAGAAAATACTCTCAGTTTGAGCCATACAATGGAGTATTCGGTTGTAATTTAAATGTTGAGCAAGATGATATTTCATTTGATGGAACTCTATTTCGCTTGCCTCTAAGAACAAGAAAACAGTCAGGTGTCAGTGAAATAAGTAACGTACCATACGATCATAGGCAAATGATCAGTTTGATGAAAATATTGATGGAATCAGGAGGAAACCTTTTGTTGTTTACACAAAATGTTTCCCAAGTTGACTTCTATCATTTACCAAGGACCGAAAAAGATCCAAAAAATGCTACCCTTTTGTACACTGTACATAGGCATCCAGTACGCTCAATTGAAAGACCAATCAGCAGAGTGTCATCAGAAAGTACATTTTCAGTACTAAAATCTTTGGCAGAATGTCTTGAAAATAAGAAGAAAAAAAATGCAACAGAAATACCAGTAGTCCAAATGAGTATATTATTTCAAATATCAATAAAAACAAATGTCAAATTAACTGATTTCGAAATACAGGCGAGTTCGTCCACGACACCGTGGTTTGCAACATGGGCTACTGGCACTGAAAGAAGTAAAGATATGGCATTGGAATCATCTAAAAAAGGCGCCATACCATTGGCATGTATAGCTTGCCCGCTGCAAAAAATGGACAATGGGACCTTTAAGACGTTGAATCTAAAATACCTGCCAGATGGGTTTTACAGAAAAAGTCATATTTTTTGTTTCCTTCCTCTTCCAGTTGAAACAAACTACCCAGTTCATATAAATGGATCTTTTGCCGTTACTTCAGATCGTAGGAATATTGTGTATAAAGCTGTTGATGACAAAGATTCTTTTGATAACGATTGGAATGAGGCTTTAATGAACGATGCTGTATGTAATGCGTACATTTTACTTCTGGAAAACCTGCCTCACTATAACATCGATCAAAATGAACCATATTACAAACAATGGCCCTTGCAGTGTGGACAAGATACCAGCATTGGAGAGCTGCAGACGTCATTTTATCGGAGAGTTGCAGATATAAGAAAACCTACAAAAGTATTTCGAAGATCTAGCACCATTACTCACATTGGCCCGTGTCAATTTCTCGATCATGCAATTATGAAAACTGAGTTTGGAGAAGAAGCTTTTAGTGTCTGTGTAAAGCTACTAGAAGATGACAACACAAAAATGATGAAATTGCCAAAGGAGATTCAGGAATGTTTTATAGCTGCAGGATGTGCACAGGTGGTGGCGAAAAGAGTCATGAATAGAATAGATTTTTTTTCAAAGCTAGTATTCCCACATTTGAAAGATAATGTTTGGAATGAAAGAACAAAGGATATGCTTATGTTGTATGGCTTAGACAATGCCTCTGGGAAAATGAGTGATATGTTAAAAGAACACAGATGTATTCCTACAGCCCCCAACAGATTGTTAAGACGTCCGTCAGAACTTATAGACCGAAAAGGAGAGCTTAAAGGGCTTTTCAAAGACGAAGATGAGAGATTTGTTATTGATGACGAGAATATGTTCTGCAAGGATAGCCGACTAAAGACGTTGAATAAGTTGGGAATGGCAGCCGCAACACTTTCTGACGAGCTTCTCATTGACAGAGCAGTTTCAATACAGTCACTTGCTGGCATCTGTTCACATTGTGGATTAGATCGATGCATACAATTTGTTCAATATTTAAATAGAGAACTCTCTTCAATCGAAAAGAATGCAGACTTATTTAGAAAGCTTCAGTCGATACAGTTCCTACCAATTAAGATCAAATCAAATGACTGGCTTTGGTCATGGGGAGGTGACAAAGTTTCAAGGGAACAAGATTTGAAAGGAGTGAAATACATATGTAACACTGAAAATCACTACGTCAATTTTGAACTTCGATTTGAAAAACCACAATTACTGTATATGCACACGATTAGGGAACTTGTGTGTTCAATTCAACCAGTTTTAGATGAGAATTATTTTTCTATTGATATTGATCGCCAAAGTTTTATCAAGTTAGGTGTCCGACGACAAGTATCACCAATTCTTGCAATGGAAAATTTGTTAGCGATAAGTCAGAGTGGTTCTTGTGATGAGAATATGTCTGGTAGTTTGGAATTCTTAAACAGTACAGTGTATGCAATTTACAAGTTCATTAATGAGCAGTCCTTAAAACACCAGAATGACAAAAGCAAACTTTTACCAGAAATTGCTGAACGTTATAAAGAGGAACGTATATTACTTTTGAATGATATGTTTGTTAAACCAAGCCAAGTAGTAGTTCATAGTCCAGAAGATTGTAGTCCTCATTTCTACAGATTGAATTCAAACAAACTGAAGTCAATGAGAGGACTAATTGATATTCTGCAAATAGAGGAAATATGCTCCTCTGAACGAGTGTTGTCAGAACTTAAGTCCTACAAGAGTCGTTTTGGTGAGACAGAAATGACTGACGCTAATGTACAATTGTATGTACGGCTACTGAAGGTACTAGTTGAGGCAATAAAGATAGAAAATTTGGAAGCAAGTGAAGTAAAAGATCTTTACATTCCTGATACAACAGGAGTTCTGTATCCCATACATAGGGTTTGTATTGATGATAATGTCCGTTCAACTGCAAATATGAACTTTACACATGACAGTATATCACATGAAATATCGTTAGCCCTAGGAATCAGTACAAAGCGTCAATTCAAATTAGAAGAATGTTCGAAGGACCTTTTTTCACAAGACTTTGGTCAGCATGAGGAATTAATAACCAGAATAAAGCGAATTTTGACAGGATATCCATGCGATGCCGGAGTGCTGAAAGAATTACTTCAGAATGCAGACGATGCTAAAGCATCTGAAGTTCACATTGTACTTGATTTTAATAGTTATCCTACTGACGATTTGTTTGATGAGAAATGGAAACCCTTACAAGGACCAGCCATACTTGTTTACAACGATAGTTATTTCTCAGAGGCGGATCTAAAGGGGATTCAAAAACTTGGAATAGGAAGTAAAGTAGAAGACCCAACAAAGACTGGACAGTATGGGGTTGGATTCAATGCAGTTTACCATCTAACTGATGTACCGTCTTTCCTTACACGCGGAAAAGAAGTTGAAACAGGAGAAATACTTTGTGTGCTTGATCCACATTGTCAGTATATTTCTAAAGCTACAAGCAGAAATCCTGGAAGAAAATATATCAACACAACAACTTTGAGAGAAGACCACCCGAATGTCTTTAATTGTTATCATGATACTTTACTCATGACACAGAAAAAGAAAGGAAAAAGGAAAGCTCAGGGTACTATTTTTAGATTACCACTTAGATCATCGAAATTCACTGAAAGTTCTCAAATATCAAAGCGTGAAATTACCAGAGAGTTTGCATATGAAATATTACAGAATTTTAAGCATGAAATGTCGACCATGCTCCTATTTGTCAATAACGTTAAGACAATAAAATTTTCGGAAATATCTGACGGCGAGTTAGTAGAAATGTATTCAGTCAAGATGAATCTATCTAAGTTGGATGAAGACGATCGCCTGCAATTTTATGAAAAGATTGAACAAAATTCAAGCTTACTTCGTAAGAGCCGTACTCTTGATTGCCTTATTCCAGACGAAATAAATTACATTGCTGACATAAATGATAGTTCCGGGGTGAAGAGTAAATGGCTGATAGTTAGACGATTGGGGTTTTCACTGAACACACCTTGTCCACAGAGTATACAGAATGCGTACCAAAACGGAAATCTTGGTTTACTTCCACGAGGGGGCGTAGCTGTGCCAATACAAGAACATTACAAGAAGAATAGTATGACTTGTGGACGAATATTCTGCTTTTTGCCACTCCCACTTGAAACAGGTCTTCCAATTCACGTGAACGGGCATTTTGCATTAGAACACGAGGCTAGACGAAATTTGTGGACAGATGAAGAAGATGGGTACCGTTCAGCATGGAATAATCATTTGATAAATGACATAATAGCTCCATCTTACGCATTAGCTTTGCTGAAAATGAGAGATATTTTGGATATCCACACAGAAAGATCGTATAGAAAAAGTTCGTTAAACACGAAGCTTACTTTATTTCATAGCTATCTGCCAAATTACGAAGAAGCAAAGAATGATTATTTCCGTTTGCTTGTTTGCAGTTTTTACCGATGGATTTATATGCATGAAATTCCTCTTTTTCCCTTTATGACATCGGATGGCAAAGATGGTGCCTTAGTGCAATTTGTTCCGCTGTCATGTCGCAAAGCCGCATTCCCCTGTGTGTATAATATTTTTGAAGACCAGGAATCATTCAAAACAGCTGGCAATATAAGCACCGGAATATCAGATCGGATAAAAAACTTTAAATCTCAGAAAAAACCATCAAATAATCAATTTGATTTAGTACAGATATTTAAAAGGTTGGGAATCAAACTACTCAGTTTTCCGAAACACGTATTACGTGGTTTAAGAGAGGCCGAAATCGAAATTCAAGTAATATCACCTACCTTCGTTATTTCCTTCCTGAAGTCATACAACTCAACAGAGAATGGTTCTTGTCAGCTGAAGGCAGTAGACAAAATGGTTAATGAAACTGTTTTCCAGAACATAGTAAATGTGGAACACTGCATCAAATATTGTCAAGGCAGTGATACATTCAACGATGAAATGGAGAACTTACCGCTCTGTGTGACTGATGATGGATTTATTAGAACGTTCAAGCGTGAAAGACCTATATTTTGGTCGCGTTATAGCAGTATTGTTCCGGAATCAAACCACCGATTCCTCCACGTTGATCTTCATGATCTTTTTACACTACCTTTGCATGGTCTGGCAAAATTTGATTTACTTGCATTTGCTTCAGTTTTACCAAATACTATATCAGCGAGAAAATACAAAACACGTAACCTTGCAGTTTCCTGGAACCCTGAAAATGATAATGCTCCAAATAAGAACTGGCTGGAAAATGTTTGGACTTATATTGATTCTGTAACTGCTCAATCGTACATCATTGGTCCGCCGAATCCAGACGAATATGCAAAATTATTTAATCCACTTCTGTCCTGGTGTTTAGTTCCCTGTAGACAGTCAGATTGTTCTTCAAATGAAGGTAACAAAAATGATGTTCTATTTCCAATTTGCAGAGCTAGATATGTTTTAGATTTACAATCTTACAAAGGACCAATGGAAACTGCTTTGGAACGTCTTGCATTACCATGCCTTGATGAACATTTTATCTATAAACAGGATAGCATACTCTCCAAACTAGTGGTATCGACTGGAAATGCACACAGTCTATTGTGCTACCTTTATGAATACAGAAATGACATTAAAAATAGAACCGTTAGGTCTAAGGATAGTTTGGTGATACTGGAATTTATTTCTCAAAACTTAGACGAGATACTAAAAAACGCAAATGAAGACGATTTGCTGAGTAAAATAAAAGAAGTGCCGCTTCATGTCACAGTTAGTGGTCAGAAAGTTAGCTTGAATACAACTTCCAAAGTGCTTATACTAGATCAATATGTATCTAAAACCATTGTTACTGATGGAGTGAAGGATTGGGCATCAAAAACTGGAACAATATTGCTGAAGTCAACACAAAATTTGAAAAGTCTTTATATAAGGCTAGGATTCACAACAGAGAAATACGACGCTATAGATGTGTATACCAACTTTTTATTACCAAAGTTTGACTGTTTGCCACAAAAATACCATTTAAGTCATCTTCTATTTATACGAGACAAACTTTTGTCTGTATCTGCTGGACAGACCTTCAGCACAAAACAAGTCAAACTGATCTCAATTTTGAAAGAAACGGCATTTGTTCCAGCTACAGACGGGAAGATATTCAAAGCATCACATTTTATGAGCTCCTTTAATGCTGTAATGAAACTAATGTGTAGCCCTGATCAGTTTCCAGGTGCACCGTTCTCAAACATACAATGGAATGAATTCCTGAAAATTGCTGATATTCAATTCGAAGTTACCCCTAAAATGATTGTAGACTTTGCACACATAGTTGAACGTTTAGCAGAAAATGGAATCACTGAAGAGGTTAGGAATAAGTCGAAGACGGTCGTTGGTCATATCATGTCTCGTAAAAACGTAGCAACTGAATGTGTTTTACGGGATATAAGCACAATAAGATTTTTACTCCCATATAAAGCTGACGATTGGCAAAACAAAATATACAAACAGAAAGATATGAAGCTAATATGCTACCGTGATTCTGTACCTCAGTCTGCAGCTTATTTGGCATGGACTACATGTTCCATTCTTCCTCAAGAAGCTGACCCATGTCGAGACAGACAAAACCTAGACAAAAAACAAAAAGAAATACAGAGTCAGCTAGGTATTCACAATGAGCCACCAATTGATAGTGTAATGGAACATGTACAAAACATATGTAATGCATTATATGCAATGGCAGATTTAAATCTTATTGAGGATTCTCATGTAGGTTGCATCCAAGAAATGATGAAGAAAATTTACGAATGGCTCAAAAGTAAAATGAAAGAACATTCTGGTTGCCTGAAAAATCTCAGCAAAACACCAGTTGTTTTTATACCAGATTCAAAGATGTTTGTCACATGTGATAGGACTGTAAAATCTTTCGATCAAAAAAATGAAACTGAAATCAGACCATATCTTATGCGAGTTCCAGATGAATATGGAGAATTTTTCAAATTATTTCAGTTACTTGGTATGACAGCTAGTACGTCCGTCTGTAACTACGTAAGAGTACTCGAATATCTACAGTCGGAAGTTGGGGACGCACCTCTACACGTTAACGAGCTGAAAGTTGTACGAATGGCTTCTCAGCAACTACTTAAACATCTTTTGGATGTCAGCAGTGCTGATACAGAAACTTTGAAGAAGATGGATGCTCTGTTCTTGTTAACTCGCCAAGAAACACTGCAAAATGCAAAAACTCTTGTTCTTTCTGACAACAAGGACTTCGAAGAAAAGATTGGATCAGAAATCGGAATGCCATATGTTATGGACTTCAGTCAACTTGACATTTTTATCCAAGGAAGTATATCAGAAAGACTTAAAAAATTGCCAAAAAAGATGCAGCCTAACATTTTATCTGATACGATATCTAAAGAACTTACCGCCGACAATCTGGTTAGAGTACAAGATGGGCGAGGAAATGGGTTAAAAGATTTCTTTACGTCACATCAATTTACAGAAGGTGTTGTTAGAATATACGTTCATTACTGCAAGCAGCATCCTCAAGCAAACCAGATAAATATTACTCAGGAAACCGTCGAACAGCTAGTGAAGGGTATTAGATGTTTAAGAATAGTACAGGTAGAATCCATTATACTCAGATTAGTGTTTAATGGTAAAGCAGTTGGACAAAGCGAAAAATCATGTTTTTTCAAGATGAAGAGTGATGAAACGAATAATGAGCATGTTCTATATTGTGCTTTCAAAGAAAAGAGTCTACAACAATGGTTGGTCGACAATTATGATTCAGTAGGGCTAGCTTTAAAAAAATGCACTGACAATTGCTTTGAGGACACCAGTGGTCTTTTAATGAAGATCTTAACACGGATTGACAAACCAAGTAGCATATCAAAAGCATTGGACGAAGCTGGTGTACTAGAATACAGATTTGCTTGTAATACACATGAACATTTGTTTCCTCCAGCTGGTACCGTGGTCAATCAAAATCGACATAGTTTTCTTGACAGTAGCTTTACCGATTTTTCCATCGGAGAATATGTAGCTCTCTTAATAAGCGAAGAAACTGTAACGAACCGAAAATTTGTTCCTGCAGTTTACATTTACGCCATAATTGTAAAAAAGTTAGAAAGTGATACGTCAAATACTATTCTAGGAAACACACTTTGCATGTACGAGGTTGATGTCGGAAATGGAAATATAGAGAAAAGGAAAGCTTATGACTTATTCAAGTTTAATCGCAAAAATGCAGATGTTAACCAATTAAACGGACAAGAACCTAGTGAGTCAAAAGAACTTGTAGAATTTGTAGAGATTTCAGGTACACAAAATGATGAGCGATCTCTTGACGATATTTTAAAAGAAATTAAAGAGCAAGTCAAGGCAGCTTGGACACTACCTGAAGATGAAAGACGAAAGGTGATCAAAAGATTGTATAAAAAATGGCATCCTGATAAAAACCATGGTAAAGAAAAAATAGCAACAGAAGTATTCAAATATTTACGGAAGATTGTTCTGCAACTGGAAAGGGGAGAAGATATTGACAGTGACAAACGTTCAGATTCGTCAAGCTCCAGATCTAACTTTTACGAAAATTTCAGGAGTTATTATTCAAACGACAGAAGCAGATCAAATTTCTATTCGAATTTTAGACATTATTCAGATGACTCCGGTCGGTATGCAGGAAGTCACTCCACGTTTTGGTCAGATTTTAAACGATGGGAATATGATACATGGGAAGATAGTTATTACAGAAACAGTCAAGGGTATAGGTCAAGAGGAACAAGACAGCAAACAAGAGATGAAAAGGTGCCATCGGTAGCTGAAGCTAGACAGTGGATGCGACAAGCAAAAATGGATTTCACAGCTGCTGACCAATTTTTCCCACACGCAGTATCTGGACAACATTTTAATTGGATTTGCATTATGTGCTATCAGGTATTTATAATAAGTTTTCTAGAGATGTTCCGTCTTATAAAAAATGAAAATATTGTCTCTCAGTCGGTACCTCTAAACTAATTAACAAACTCGACAAGAATCTTTAAGACAAAGCTACTGTTATTCTCATTAATTTATTGTGTGTCAAAATGTCAATATAAAGCAGTTTACTAGATAGAATATTAGAGAAAAATTCCCATAGAAATCATTCTGACATCACTTGGCACTTTTCAACCAACAAAGCGTGATGAAACTTAAAAATGTTATAATGGTAAGGACTGTAATTTTCTTTTAGAAATAAGTTGGTATTTTATTAGCGGTAAGAGTAGTTACAGACCAATCAGAAATACATTCGGATGAATGATCTTCACAGTCCATTTTAGACCAGACAAACTCACCATGTACATAAACTTGCGTTCACTTGAGCTATAGTTAACGATTCACCTGATTTAAAGTTAAGGTCAAAATCAATATTTCGAAACTGACATGTATCGATAAAACTTGGTGAAATGGTGCATCTATATGCAAAAAAAGACGGAAGATATTAAGAGGGCAAAAGAAAACCGTCAGTAAAATAAACACGTACAAAGCAATGGACAAAAAAGACGAACATAAGAATAGTCCATGTTTCCCACCAAAAGCATGTGACCCCGACACGTTTCTGACTTTAGAGACATATAAAATACAGTATTCAACATTAGCGAACCTAAATTTCGTCGGCGGCGTCAGCATTTAAGTTCATTCAGTCTGCGGATAAAGTTTTGTCAGACATCAGTTACTTTGTCAGACCTTCATGGAATTTTATGAAATTTAAAAGAAGCATTTCTTAATGATAAAGAGATAATATTTAAAGAAAGATTTTGAAATTTATACTCATTTTTCAGTATTTTACTGATGGATAAACATACGTTTTTTGGGGAGTTAACTATAACATACAATCTGTGATTAAATCTTTTAGACGTTAATAACTTTGTTAAACCTTCTTCGAATGATATGAAACTTGGACAGATCAAGAAACAGCATCTTAAGATATTTGTTTAAACTCATAGCAGAATTCGCAGGCGAGACAAAACACAAAGTTCCGCGATACCCTTTATACGATTCGTTAATCTCACTTGTTGTACTGATAAAAATACATAGGAGAACATACAATAAAAAATCAGTACAGCAAAAAATGCGTAAGTTTACAAAGGTAAAACCTGTTGCATAAAAAAATTCAAAAATTACAAGCAAAAACAAATCCATAATAATAAAGTATTCAAAATTCTGCTGGGTGATACTGAAGGCTGAGTATATTGTCAGATCTACACATAACTTCATGGATTTTTGTTTAGTTTCAAAGTTCAGCTGATTACTCTAGTGGTAAAGCCTAAAATCCCAAACTCCATCAGCTGATAATCTTCCTTAAATAGTACTTATGTAACAACGACACAAATACAAATTTGAAACTTAATTTGTCACCATGCGCGAGAGAGAGTAATTCCAGTTACAGTCTGTTCTTAGTGAACCCAATAAAGGTCAAATTGCTTTTTATTCTATCTTTTTATAGTGTGTTGAAAAGGTATTGAAGGCCATGCACTACACAAAGGATTGCAACAACGTACCTAGTACACACGATTTGAATAAACTTATGTTTGGCCTTGATATGGAGCTTCAGACTAAGGTTAAACAATTTATGCTTTTGGTTGGACCACGTGATAGAACAATGTACCCAGAACGCATGAATATTCCGAAAATACCAGCAGATGTTTATACTAAGGAGACGGCAGAGTCCGCTCGAGATGTAACAAAGGAAATACTTGAGTTTGCTGCAGATTTATTACAACTTTAAAGGTAAAAAGTTACATATGAAATCTCTCATACTAGTACACTGTGTCCAAACTACCCCTGCAAACAATCATACCTTTAAGCTATCTGTTGGTGGTCTGTCACTGTATTGGGAGTTAGATATTTACGACTCAAAACATTTCTGTCGAGGGAGGTTTGGACACAGGGTAGTAATTGTTCCATTTAAATAATTGGTCTAGTTATGCTACTGTACATTTTGCATACGTCTTGTCTGTTTTGGATGTTAAATCCGAGACATGTTCTGAGATCATAACTATTGTACATGTTTATGGACGTGGAAGAACTCAAACAACAATTCTTTTGCGATATCAGTAACAGTAGTTGAATAGTATTTGTACGTACCGTACATAAAGTCACATTAGTATTTACTAATGTGACTTTGTATTTGCTCAGCAACAATTCACCGTACAAATACTAATGTGACTTAATATTTGCTCAGCAACAATTCACCGTACAAATACTAATGTAACTTTATATTTGCTCAGTAACAATTCACCGTACAAATACTAATGTAACTTCATATTTGCTCAGCAACAATTCACCGTACAAATACTAATGTGACTTTATATTTGCTCAGCAACAATTCACCGTACAAAAACTAATGTGACTTTATATTTGCTCAGCAACAATTCACCGTACAAATACTAATGTGACTTTATATTTGCTCAGCAACAATTCAACTACTGCTACTGGTAACTGGAACAAAATTCTTTTTATAATTAGATACAGGTTTCATGTTTGAACACGAGTTATGTCCCTCTATCAAACTAATGGTGTAATTTGAACTGTCGTATATATATATATATATCTATATACAAACAAGTCTAAATTGAAAACAACGTTCAAACCTATGATTGCGTTGGATAAAAACCGCAATTTTTATACGTGTGCATGCAAAACAAATTTCTTGGTAGAGGGGTCTAAATACAGCACAAACAGCTTTGATGTTTTAGGCAATAAAGTTACATAATTGTTGAAGAGCATATAGATAATTCTCTGAGAACTGACTTAAAATGAGAAAAGACATGAACCTGAACCTACTTCTATAATATTACTTAATAATCTATGTCATCTGTACCTACTTCTATAATGTTACTTAATAATCTATGTCATCTGTACCTACTTCTGTAATGTTACTTGATAATCTATGTCATCTGTACCTACTTCTATAATGTTACATACTAATCTATGTCACCTGTACCTACTTCTATAATGTTACTTAATAATCTATGTCATCTGTACCTACTTCTATAATGTTACTTACTAATCTATGTCATCTGTACCTACTTCTGTAATGTTACTTGATAATCTATGTCATCTGTACCTACTTCTATAATGTTACATACTAATCTATGTCACCTGTACCTACTTCTATAATGTTACTTAATAATCTATGTCATCTGTACCTACTTCTATAATGTTACATACTAATCTATGTCATCTGTACCTACTTCTATAATGTTACTTAATAATCTATGTCATCTGTACCTACTTCTATAATGTTACATAATAATCTATGTCATCTGTACCTACTTCTATAATGTTACTTAATAATCTATGTCATCTGTACCTACTTCTATAATGTTACTTGATAATCTATGTCATCTGTACCTACTTCTATAATGTTACTTAATAATCTTTGTCATCTGTACCTACTTCTATAATGTTACATACTAATCTATGTCATCTGTACCTACTTCTGTAATGTTACTTGATAATCTATGTCATCTGTACCTACTTCCATAATGTTACTAAATAATCTATGTCATCTGTACCTACTTCTATAATGTTACATACTAATCTATGTCACCTGTACCTACTTCTATAATGTTACTTAATAATCTATGTCATCTGTACCTACTTCTATAATGTTACTTACTAATCTATGTCATCTGTACCTACTTCTGTAATGTTACTTGATAATCTATGTCATCTGTACCTACTTCTATAATGTTACATACTAATCTATGTCACCTGTACCTACTTCTATAATGTTACTTAATAATCTATGTCATCTGTACCTACTTCTATAATGTTACATACTAATCTATGTCATCTGTACCTACTTCTATAATGTTACTTAATAATCTATGTCATCTGTACCTACTTCTATAATGTTACATAATAATCTATGTCATCTGTACCTACTTCTATAATGTTACTTAATAATCTATGTCATCTGTACCTACTTCTATAATGTTACTTGATAATCTATGTCATCTGTACCTAGTTCTATAATGTTACTTATTAATCTATGTCATATGTACCTACTTCTATAATGTTACATAATAATCTATGCTTCTATAATGTTACATAATAATCTGTCATCTGTACCTACTTCTATAATGTTACTTCATAATCTATGTCATCTGTACCTACTTCTGTAATGTTACTTGATAATCTATGTCATCTGTACCTACTTCTATAATGTTACATACTAATCTATGTCACCTGTACCTACTTCTATAATGTTACTTAATAATCTATGTCATCTGTACCTACTTCTATAATGTTACTTACTAATCTATGTCATCTGTACCTACTTCTGTAATGTTACTTGATAATCTATGTCATCTGTACCTACTTCTATAATGTTACTTAATAATCTATGTCATCTGTACCTACTTCTATAATGTTACTTTAATAATAATCTATGTCATCTGTACCTACTTCTATAATGTTACATAATAATCTGTCATCTGTACCTACTTCTATAATGTTACTTAATAATCTATGTCATCTGTACCTACTTCTATAATGTTACTTAATAATCTATGTCATCTGTACCTACTTCTATAATGTTACCTAATAATCTATGTCATCTGTACCTACTTCTATAATATTACTTAATAATCTATGTCATCTGTACCTACTTCTGTAATGTTACTTATTAATCTATGTCATATGTACCTACTTCTATAATGTTACATAATAATCTATGCTTCTATAATGTTACATAATAATCTGTCATCTGTACCTACTTCTATAATGTTACTTCATAATCTATGTCATCTGTACCTACTTCTTAAATGTTACTTAATAATCTATGTCATCTGTACCTACTTCTATAATGTTACTTTAATAATAATCTATGTCATCTGTACCTACTTCTTTAATGTTACTTAATAATCTTTGTCATCTGTACCTACTTCTATAATGTTACATAATAATCTATGTCATCTGTACCTACTTCTATAATGTTACTTAATAATCTATGTCATCTGTACCTACTTCTATAATGTTACTTAATAATCTATGTCATCTGTACCTACTTCTATAATGTTACTTAATAATCTATGTCATCTGTACCTACTTCTATAATGTTACTTTAATAATAATCTATGTCATCTGTACCTACTTCTTTAATGTTACTTAATAATCTATGTCATCTGTACCTACTTCTATAATGTTACTTAATAATCTATGTCATCTGTACCTACTTCTATAATGTTACTTTAATAATAATCTATGTCATCTGTACCTACTTCTTTAATGTTACTTAATAATCTTTGTCATCTGTACCTACTTCTATAATGTTACTTAATAATCTATGTCATCTGTACCTACTTCTATAATGTTACATAATAATCTATGTCATCTGTACCTACTTCTATAATGTTACTTAATAATCTATGTCATCTGTACCTACTTCTATAATGTTACTTTAATAATAATCTATGTCATCTGTACCTACTTCTATAATGTTACTTGATAATCTATGTCATCTGTACCTACTTCTATAATGTTACTTAATAATCTATGTCATCTGTACCTACTTCTATAATGTTACATACTAATCTATGTCATCTGTACCTACTTCTATAATGTTACTTAATAATCTATGTCATCTGTACCTACTTTTTTAATGTTACTTAATAATCTTTGTCATCTGTACCTACTTCTATAATGTTACATAATAATCTATGTCATCTGTACCTACTTCTATAATGTTACTTAATAATCTATGTCATCTGTACCTACTTCTGTAATGTTACTTAATAATCTATGTCATCTGTACCTACTTCTATAATGTTTCTTGATAATCTATGTCATCTGTACCTACTTCTATAATGTTACATAATAATCTATGTCATCTGTACCTACTTCTATAATGTTACTTAATAATCTATGTCATTTGTACCTACTTCTGTAATGTTACTTGATAATCTATGTCATCTGTACCTACTTCTATAATGTTACATACTAATCTATGTCACCTGTACCTACTTCTTTAATGTTACTTAATAATCTATGTCATCTGTACCTACTTCTATAATGTTACTTAATAATCTATGTCATCTGTACCTACTTCTGTAATGTTACTTGATAATCTATGTCATCTGTACCTACTTCTATAATGTTACATACTAATCTATGTCACCTGTACCTACTTCTTTAATGTTACTTAATAATCTATGTCATCTGTACCTACTTCTATAATGTTACTTAATAATCTATGTCATCTGTACCTACTTCTGTAATGTTACTTGATAATCTATGTCATCTGTACCTACTTCTATAATGTCACATACTAATCTATGTCACCTGTACTTACTTCTATAATGTTACTTAATAATCTATCTCATCTGTACCTACTTCTATAATGTTACTTAATAATCTATGTCATCTGTTCCTACTTCTATAATGTTACTTTAATAATAATCTATGTCATCTGTACCTACTTCTTTAATGTTACTTAATAATCTATGTCATCTGTACCTACTTCTATAATGTTACTTAATAATCTATGTCATCTGTACCTACTTCTATAATGTTACTTTAATAATAATCTATGTCATCTGTACCTACTTCTATAATGTTACATAATAATCTGTCATCTGTACCTACTTCTATAATGTTACTTAATAATCTATGTCATCTGTACCTACTTCTATAATGTTACTTAATAATCTATGTCATCTGTACCTACTTCTATAATGTTACCTAATAATCTATGTCATCTGTACCTACTTCTATAATATTACTTAATAATCTATGTCATCTGTACCTACTTCTGTAATGTTACTTAATAATCTTTGTCATCTGTACCTACTTCTATAATGTTACATACTAATCTATGTCATCTGTACCTACTTCTGTAATGTTACTTGATAATCTATGTCATCTGTACCTACTTCCATAATGTTACTAAATAATCTATGTCATCTGTACCTACTTCTATAATGTAACATAATCATCTATGTCATCTGTACCTACTTCTATAATGTTACTCAATAATCTATGTCATCTGTACCTACTTCTATAATGTTACTTTAATAATAATCTATGTCATCTGTACCTACTTCTTTAATGTTACATATTAATCTATGTCATCTGTACCTACTTCTATAATGTTACTTAATAATCTATGTCATTTGTACCTACTTCTATAATGTTACTTAATAATCTATGTCATCTGTAAATGCTAGTATATAATTTAAGGTGTAGAGTGGGTGGTGCATATTCGCCTTGGACACATTTTCGCCGTTTTGCTATTTTTTCTGTAAAATGTGTGTGCATTTACCCAATACTTGCCTAAATAGATGGTAAAGGCTGTTTGTAATGTTACAACTGTTGATATTCCTCTTTACCCCATTTCCAAGGTTATTCGCACATATTGAGAAATATGCAGGTGTTTTAAATGATTTTGGCAATTATGTAAGATTTATATGGCAATCATACGCAGTCTAAAAGTAAATATTTGTGAGAAAAATCGTATAGATATAAGAAGATGTGGTATGAGTGCCAATGAGACAACTCTCCATCCAAGTCAAAATTTATAAAAGTAAACCATTAAAGGTCACAGTACGGTCTTCAACACGGAGCCTTGGCTCACACAGAACAGTAAGCTATAAAGGGCCCCAAAAATTACTAGTGTAAAACCATTCAAACGGGAAAACCAACGGTCTAATCTATATAAAAAACGAGAAACACTTATGAACCACATCAACAAACGACAACTACTGAACATCAGGAATGATCTCTCAAGCTAATTCATGTAATTGCAAACATTCGTTTTTATAATATACCAGGATAATGAGGATGGTCATATCATACATTGCGGCGAAAATGTGTCCCCCATGGTACACGAACAACTTGATTTCCTCTTGAGTTTGCGTTCGTTTTTAGAACAACTAACCAATGTTTTGAAGATAATTTCTTTCTCAAACATTTTTTTCATATAGTTAAATTTCTGAAACCTTCATAAAAAGTTCCAAATATTCGAATGTAGGTCGGATGTAAGTGGAAATGAACGAATTATGCGGCGAATATGGGTCTCTCACTCTGTGGTATAATAATTATTATAGAATATCAGATGGCTTTCTTTAATAACTCGAAGCTTTTTAATGTTTTTACTTCAAGATATGTATATAAAAGCTGCATTTTTATATTTTATCTTAACTACTAACGTTATATTTTGCAGGTTTCTAAAGGTTTTTCAAAGATGAAAAAAATGGTTTTATTGGACATTCTAGAAACATACTGATATACTTTAAATATATGACATTCTGTTCTTGTTTGATTGTGTGATTTGTCTGGATTATTAGCATGAGAGAAGCAGAACAATTATCAATGGTAGCACTGATAGAAATGAATTGACTATGTATATTTTATCTGTAGCTTAACAGTATATAGGTATGCACTTGTGAATAATTATAGTTGGTAAATTAGATTTCAGTTGAATATATTATAGAAGATATCTATTTTCTAAATAAAAAAGGATATTAAGGAAATCGTTCATTGAAAAGACATTAGATTAATCTGTGATTTTTTTTTTATCTGGTATAGAATTTTTTTTAGTGAAATTTATGTTATAATTTTGTTATATGTTAATCTTAAATTACTTTATAAATGTATGATAGATAAATAATGTATTCTTAATTGAATTGTCATATTGAATGATTGAAGGAAATTAAAGTACATTAAACATATTGCATGAAGCTAAGCTCTTTTATACTAGCAATTCAAGATTTGCAATAAAAAGTTCTATGACATTATCTTTAATTTTTTTTTCAAAGGTTTTAATTTTCCATCACTTGTATGGATACTAGAATATTTTGTGTTTGAGATCATATTAAATATGTGTTTATGTTATAACTACTGACTGAGATCACATTAAATATGTGTTTAGGTTATTATGATTACTTACTGAGAGCACATTACATATGTGTTTAGGTTATTATGTTACTTACTGAGATCACATTTAAATATGTGTTTAGGTTATTATAATTACTTACTGAGATCACATTACATATGTGTTTAGGTTATTATGTTACTTACTGAGATCACATTTAAATATGTGTTTAGGTTGTAATAATTACTTACTGAGATCACATTACATATGTCTTTAGGTTATTATGTTACTTACTGAGATCACATTTAAATATGTGTTTAGGTTATTATAATTACTTACTGAGATCACATTACATATGTGTTTAGGTTATTATGTTACTTACTGAGATCACATTTAAATATGTGTTTAGGTTGTAATAATTACTTACTGAGATCACATTACATATGTGTTTAGGTTATTATAATTACTTACTGAGATCACATTACATATGTGTTTAGGTTGTAATAATTACTTACCGAGATCACATTACATATGTGTTTAGGTTATTATAATTACTTACTGAGATCACATTACATATGTGTTTAGCTTTTTATAATTACTTACTGAGATCACATCAAATATGTGTACAGATTGAGATCATTATTTAACACCTGTACAGAGTGTATTGATTTATATATATATATAACATTGTTTCAGGATCTTAATTTGTCCAAAAGTCTTTGTAAAATATAAATAAAATGAAATGTTGGATGTACATGAAAAAGACGGTAACCCAACGTCTTTTAAAAATAAATAAAAAAAGACGTCTAGAGGTCAACTTATGTGCTTAAAAATAAAAGACAGGTGTCTTTACAATTATGATTCAAGCTCTGTAATGGAAAATTTAAACTGTATCATTTGTATTTATAATATATGAAAGCCTGATGCACTTTATTCTTGTCTGTTATATTACATTATGTAGTTGATTGCGGTTGAAATATGTTTTCTTATTAAAAAATCTTTCATAAAATTGTACTTTTGACATATCCAAAACTGACAAAAATATGACAATATGTATTTTTAACAAGCTTTGATTTCTACCTGTGGCCTCCAATATTGAGTACAGATTCAAGTTGTGGGACGCTTAATTTATTGACTGGTCGATTGTTTTTCGATAAACGCCCACTGAGAAAGATTTCTTGCATATTCAAGAGAAGAACTATTAAACATATCCATTCTGTTTACATGTCGGTCTTATGTTGTATTGATACACCACTGTCCAATGCTAGGGCTCTTCAGTGACAATTTCGACAATTTTTTTCTATTTTGATCAATTATCTATACAATGCCAATATCAGAGGCGTATTTTTAGATGCCCCCTTTATAGCGCTACATATATGGTTAATGCACTCCTTACGTTGCCTTAGCGGCCCCTTACACTTTTTCAAAATCCTAGATCCGCAGCTGAATATGACCGCAACTATTGGTTAACGTCTTATCGGATTTAATGCCCTTAAAAATGACCATTATTGACTAATTGTTAGCTCATTTGGCATAAAAAGGGCATGTGATCTATTCCTGACACTTGTCATCAGTCGTCATAGTGTCAGGTCATCATTATCTCATTTTTATGGCCCCGCAACAAAGTTGTCGAGGCCATATAGTTTTACCCTTGTCCGTCATTCCGTCATTCTGTCATTCCGTCATTCTGTCATTCCGTCATTCTGTCATTCCGCCATTCCGTCATTCCGTCATTCCGCAACAAACCATTTTACGGCCTTTTTTTCTAAACGCCTTCAGATATTGGGCTGATTTTTGGTATGTGAGTTAACCATGATGAGTTACAGATCAAGTTTAAGTTTCGTTCCGCTCCGCTAATTTTTGCCGAAATTACAGGCTTTGGACTTTGATAAATTGTTGAAAATCAGTTATACGGACTTTTTTTTTCTAAACGCCTTTAGATATTTGACTGATTTTTGGTGTGTAAGTTAACCATGATGAGTTACAGATCAAGTTTAAGTTTAGTTCCGCTCTGCTGATTTTTGCCGGACTTTGATATATTGTTAAAAATCACTGTTATACGGACTCTTTTTCTAAACGCCTTTAGATATTGGGCTGATTTTTGGTATGTGAGTTAACCATGATGAGTTACAGATCAAGTTTAAGTTTAGTTCCGCTCCGTTGATTTTTGCCGAAATTAAGGGCTTTGGACTTTGATAAATTGTTGAAAATCACAGCTATACAGACTTTTTTTCTAAACGCCTTTAGATATTGGGCTGATTTTTGGTATGTAAGTTAACCATGATGAGTTACAGATCAAGTTTAAGTTTAGTTCCGCTCCGCTGAAATTAAGCGTTTAATTAAGACGTTGAAAATTGTTGAAAATCACAGTTATCAGGTTAAACGGACTTTTTTTCTATACGCCTTCAGATTTTGCGCAGATTTTTGATACGTGAGACTACCATGATGAGTTACAGATCAAGTTTATGTTTCGTTCCGCTATGCTGATTTCCATGTCGTTTCAACACATCTTGTTAGATCTGTAGTACATCCACTTCCTGTTTGCTGATAGTTTGAAATTTAATTACTCATTGATCAAGGAAATTTTTCATCAAACTACTATTGGTCATGAGAGCTTAATACTATCCATGCATGTTTGTGTCCACATGTGTTGTTGAAATTGCAGATTTTTCAACTTTTTGAGACGGGGTCATTCGTGTCTATCCGACACATCTAGTTTAAAATCTTCTCTGAAATTGTTATCAGTTTGATAAATTTTGCTAGATGATCGATCTAGAAACCCTAGGTCAAGTAGCTAGGATAAAAGGGATTGTAGTTCAATTGAAAGAATAGAATGGTGAATCGGTTTATATGTACATAAGTCGACATATTGACAGTTTCATTTTTACGTACACATCGACAGTTTGAAAGGTCGACATACCTGTATTGGCATTATTGGTAAACTTTCGACCTGTCGAAACCACTATAATAATTTTTTGGGTAAAAATTTAGTTTAATCATTTCTTTTCATAGTTTTTGTCAACTTACGACATTAAATTGTCAACTTTGTCAACCTGTCGACCTATCAACTTTCTACTTGTCAATTTTTACCACTATATCATGACATTATTTGATTTTATCGACTTACTTTACGTCAACTGTCGACCTGTGGAACTGTCAAACTGCAATTTGTTCTTGTATATCTTTATTGCCCCAAAATACACAAGCGTATCAATGTATTATAAAACCCGGAACTATAGGTGTTTCAACCGTGGTGAAAGACTTAACCGTGAGTTAAGATAAGATTAACAAACGTTGAAAGAAGATAAAGAAGATAATATTGATTGATTCCGAAAAAAAACCCAAATAATTATACACCTAATTATTTAGCAGCGATTATGACAGTTTGATTAACAAATGGGAACGTATGGAAAATACGAATAAAAACAAATATACATCGCTTGATCATCTCACTTATTATTCACGTGCTCCATGATTCTGTATTACGCGTTTATCAATAGGTAACGATTGGTTAACTTCGGCATCAACATTTAAAAGTCAATTAGCAGCCAAAGTTGTCGATCAACAAACACAAAATCACACGATTATACGTTATGGATTCGAACTAAATGTAAAACACGTGCACAGAGAACTTAGCTAAGAATATACATGTATGCATGCATGGGTTCAATAGCTTCCTTAACATTATAATAACCAGAAACTCTTTTTATATGACTTTAATAATTTACCAGCTACATATCTATTACGTTCATTGAAATATAAAACGTCACTATAGACACTGGCATAGTGAACGAGTTGGGAAATATATATACCGTAAGAAGAGACCAAAGGAATACCACCGTTCAAAATTGGAAAATCTGCTCTTTTGTCTTAAATTTCTTTTTTGATTTTCCCATGTGAAATTTAGATATCCAAATGTAGAAAAGGACAATTATTTATATTTAAAGGAAGTTCCCTTGGGTAAATTTTAGCAGTATAATTAGAGAATTCTTGATTATTTAAAGAAAAACATTATCAAGGTAAGTAAACGATGAGTGTTATCAAATTTATCAATTAAATGGAATTCAGATGCGGTATAGGTTTTGCTCATTGTTGAAGGCCGTATGGTGACCTATCGTTGTTAATTTCTATGTCATGTGGTCTCTTGTGGAGGGTTGTCTCATTGGCAATCATACCACATCTTCTTATTTTTATCTATATTGGGTTTGACTGAAAATTGATCAATTTTGGATTTCCCTATCAAGATCACACTGCATTTACCACCTTCAATGTCTATATTACACGATCATATGGTTATATTGAGTAATTCCATTTTCAATGATGGTGCTTTGGCGGAATTTAAATTTGGCTACTATCACTATTCTTCCGAACTTTTAGATTGTATAATAGTTCATGCTGTAAAAAGCCATACAGACAAAGAAATATTATTTCTTAACAGAAATAAATATCCAGAGAGACAGCACAGTCTACTAGAGTTAACAATAAATCCTGAAAATTAAATTTACAAATTTCAAAAGAATTATTCCGAATAAAGACAGATGTATAGTAACATTGTCCGGGACATGGAGGATACAATTCTACATCCCAGCAAGAAGCTCAAAACGATCATTTACCAACATTGTTTATATAACTTTATCATCTTATAAGACTATGCTCGAAGAACAATTACGAATTTCGAAAGATGCTTTACAAAAATAATTTTACATTCAGTGAGCTAAAAACTGACACCTCATATAAAATATAAACTTAAAGTTACATGTACAATAAAAAACATTATAATTACATTTAAAAAGTACAGCACCTACAATAAAATAAATAGCATTTAAAATAATTTTTTTACATAAAAAAACATAGCACTACAATTTTACCACGGACATAAACTTCTTTATTTTACTATTGATATAAAAATAAGGAGATGTGGTCAATGAGACAACTATCCACCAGAGTTCAAATAAGTGGATATAAGCAATTATAGGTCACAGTACGGCCTAAACCCAAACCGTATAGTCCCGACATGAAAAATGTGAAACAATTCAAACGAGAAAACTAACGGCATAATTTATAAAAAAAAAACCGCAATGTATGAAAACAAATATGACAGACACGAACCGACGACCACCACAGACTTGAGACAGGCCAATAAAGAATGTGGCGGGGTTAAACTTGAACATATTTCAGGACTTGATTGTGGTTTGTATTTAAACGATATGTTAACAGCTTATATATCCATAAAGAAATCTAGTCTTGTTTCTCGTTGATTATTTTTCTTTAAAAGTCAGGTAACAATTGATCTTAGATTTTATTGATGTATAGTTATACATAAAACTCTTCTGCTTGTCGCGTGAACTAATTCCGGACTTCATTTATTTTTGACCACCAATGCTCTTCGACCTCATTCTTAATTTGTCCTATAAACTTTTTGATTCGAGCGTCACTGATGAATCTTTTGTAGACGAAACGCGCGTCGTCGTACACTATTATAAGCCTGGTATCTTTGATGAGTTTTTTTTATATATTTTTTAATATTAAATATGTTTTGGATTGCCGAGAAGGCGAAAACATTTTTTTTCATGGAGTGTCTACATATTTACAATTTCATATTAGAAAATATCGCTTCTCCTCATAAGAAACGGTTTCCTCGATTCGCAATTTCCATAGACTGATTATTGTTTTAATAAATAAAGCATATTTCAATAACTTTGCTTTTTGTTTGTAAATGCATTATATGCCATCGACACTTCCTTACGTAAAACGTGACATACACTGAATACAAGGTACATTTGGTGCATTTTACATATCGATATTGTACATTGTACCTGTGGTCTTATCAAAATAACTTACTTTTCTGTTTGAAATATTTGATGACGAGAGAAAAAGTAAAATGATTACGTATTACGTCAATATTTAAATTTGTTACCTTAAATTGCGTATAGTGACATGACCTCTTATACACATGTAGATAATAGAATGCAATTAAATCCGTACTTATTAGACTATCTACTGATCGGC